ATTTTCCGAGAAAAGCAATAGCAAGTTCGATACCAGAAGCCAAGGCGGCATCGTGCAGAAGCAAATAAAAAGTGCTCTTTTGAGGACAGGAAGTGATTATCAATATAGTCACACTTTTGTTGTATCAAACACAAATATCGTTTTGAGAAATTCTGCGCACTCTTCGGATATTTATCCATCTTATCTCTGGCCTTGATAGTGGCAAATTATTTTGCTTCTACACTGATTGTGTATATAAAAGATCATGCAATAAAGTAAACTGAAAATAAACCTTTCTCATCAACAATTGCTCCACTTGCCTTATGAATATCTCTCCCTTGTTTAGCATATTGAATATTCCAAGAAGAGATAATTGGCCGCAAATCTGTACACCACTTTCTGACTCTTTCACAATTCCTCCGCGGAATCTTCAACACTTCAGACACTTCTGAACAGCCTTTAAAGGCATTTTACATCGCTTTTCGGACGTTTTTCTGAAGTTTTGTGTTCAGCTTAAGCACAAATTTCATGATTTTTAAGGTTATTTAATTACCAGAAACTGTTTTAAATCAATCACATAACCTAAAAATGCAATAAAATTCATTTTTTGAAGTAAAATTTATTGAGAAATGCCTCAATTTGTTGAAAGAGAAGCTTTTGCAATGCAAATATTCTACATATTTTACCACTTTCAGTTTCAAACACTTCCTTTAAAGCTGTACACCACTTCCGACCACAATATCTGCCCCTTGGAATATTCAATTGTGGTCATCATGGATAGTATGAAATTTAATACGGCAGGCAATAAACTTTTATCTCAGCTATTCTTCAATACACACAAAAGCACAGAATAAAATTCATGCACATAAATTCTTGAGCATAGTTTCAATTTGGGGTCTAGAAATTGGCTACAATTTGGCATTTTCTCAGGCTTGTAATTTGCCCTTCAAGTGAAACGATACCCTCTAATTTTCACCGCAGTGCTAATGCGAAAATTGTCCTGGAAATCCCAGCCGAGGGTCCGAAGATGTCCTGGAATAGAAGTGCCTTAATAAAAATCTCATTATTCCTCACACGTAGAAAATGTTGATCACGAACGTGTTAAGGTGAATGCCAAACCCAGTGGAAGGGTGATAATTGTGGGTGGAAAAAGTCACATGCAATATCTCAACGTGCGACCCTCACACAATGTGAAGAAGATGGGGTGGAAGTTTGCGGGAAGCGGATAAAAGACAAGTTACAGGACTTGTTGTTTGTTCGACCGCACGTTTTCGCTACAGTGATTTCTATCTTATTCGAATAACTTTAATACTAATTCCATAAATCAATAAATCGATGGGAGGGAAATGGCAAATATTTTTATGTGTGTGCGATTGTCCTAAAACAAGCCGCAAGATGACTCGCCAGCGTCCCCAAAAACCACCCTCGTCGCTCAGTCTCTCACTCTCTCTCTCACCCCGCAAATATTGGCGACGATCAATTTGCAGGCGGGGAAGTGGAGAGCGGGTGAATTGCTTGATTGCCATGAGATACAGCGATGGAGGCAGTGATATGGGCTGAGCTGCTTTACGGCCGAACAGGAGCCACCCTCATCCAGCCGGGGAATCCTCGCTGGCGGGTGTGCGGGAATCACACAAAGGCGTGTACCTTTATTTATTTATTTCGTCTCGCAACACCACCTTTAAACACTTCCTGCGCCCTTTCGGCGGGGGCAAAAGGGGGACGAAAAGCGAGGCCCGAGAGGAGAAAAGCAGTGTCTCGTCACTGCCGCACTCGCTGATTGCTTGCATTGTGAGCGATAAGCCACGGGCACCACAAATAGGAAGAGTGAAGGATTGATTGTTTCAATGTTGCAGAAGATGCTGGTGCAGTCAATAAGTGGAGGAAGGAAGAATTGTAATATTGACAACAGAAGACAATTTATGATCTTTTCCTCATGATCCCACAGAATGATAGAAGAGTCCCTCAGATTTTCCCCCCCACTTTGCCACACATATGTGCTCATATCTCACCCAATTATCCACGGATTCTCCCCAAATTGGGCTCAAATGATAGATATTGAAATTATCTACTATTTTGTAGAACATTATGGAGATTTTAGAATACTCCTTGTTGGTCAAAAACTATGTTATCTGCGCCATTCGACCAAAATTCATTGGTTTTTTCGCCACATTATTTTAAATATATTCGAGACGGAAAAACTTTTATATCTTATTATTTTTCCTATATATAGAGCCCTTTTGGGGCTACATTTCCCCCATATATGCCAAAGGGGTTTTTTCTTCTCTATCTGCCTGAAAAACAGAGTTTTCTCTTGATAAGTTTCACATTCTCATGCTGCAGAGCATAAGCTGCGCGCACCCTTGACTATTTTTGCAGAAAAAGTATGGCTTAAAATAGCCCATATTTTTCTGTTCACCTCAATAACTGATTCACGTGACATGAAAGCCAAGATCGAGAAACTTCTTCAGATGCCAGCACTTGAGTTGGTCGGAAGTGAAAGGGTCAAAGTTGAATGTGGCATAATTAAAAGGTACATTATTTGGATATGTTGCAAATTTGCACCCCTCAATTTCGGGCAAATTGACTTTTAATTGACCAATAAAGCGCTCCTCCGAGGCACATTTTCACGCGGGGAAAATGTGTGTGTGACACAATGCGTGCTGTAAATCTGCAAATCTCCCCGCCCCCTTGGGCCAAAAGTGTGATTTGCCAGGGGGTGGTGTGAGAGAATCGTGGCGGAAATGCCGACGATGTGGGTGAAATTTAAAAGGAATTCAAAAATCACCCCATTATTCAGTGATTGACGATGATTTAGTGAAAAGGAGTCTCTGGTGGAGGGTCGGAAAATTCACCCTCTTCATTTGTGATCTCTCTCGCCACGCAATTTCCGCTCTCTTTCTCCCCCTTCTTTTTGCCTTGTGAATTAAATTAACCACAATTTAAGAGGATTATTTGGCGGTAAGAAAAGAGCAAGTGTGAATTTCACTGGGAGAGAAAAGTGTCTCAAGGAAAAACGGCTCAATTATCAATTATCGCGAGATGATTTTCTCGCGGGAGATTTTCATCCACTTTATTTTCACTCCAGAGGGAAATGGGAGGAAAAAAAGAGACTGGATGGGGGGAAAGGTGCATTCTTGCGGGTGGTGATGCGATAAGGAACAGGGAAAATGCGGAAAAGTGTCGACAATTGGCTTAGTTTGGGTGAAAATGGTGAAAAATCAGTGATGCCATGACTAAAAATCGTGCTCTATTTTCTATTTCATACACACTCTTTTTCCAGTGAATTTTCCACACTACTGCAGAACATATATATGTGTGTGACATTTGAGGAAAAAATCCAGTCTTTGCTCAGCTCTCTAGATATTCTCTTAAGCACCGGCACAGTTTAGTCCCGAGTTGCAGGACAATTAGAAGAGATTTTTTCTCTCACAGAGAGAAGAAGAGAACATAATTTTACTGTCTTATTGGAAAAACCTTTTGACTTTCCAATATCGTCCTTTTTATCATCCCTTTTGTAGTCAAACAACTCAAGCAATGTCCCTGCATTTCACATTTATAATTGCTCTCTCGTGGTTCATTTCAACCCGCAGAGAGTCAACATGACTTCTGCTGCGACTCATTTGCATCTCAAACAAGTCGGGGGCAGTTTTTGTGGCTGATGGGAAAAGAGTGGGTTGAAAATCTCACGAACATATTAAATATTTGACTAAGCCGAGCTGAATTTTATGAGAGTTTTCTCCTCTTTCACCCCCCAGATGGATATAATATCGAAACTGTGCATGGAAATTCGTCGATTCTCTTCCGCATAACGCATTGTTTTGCTCTTATTCTCTCCGACCCTTAAAAAAAAGAAGTCACACACAGAGAAATTGTCTCTTCTCACACCCCCAAACACTTTTCCGGGGGTGGGAGGCGCGCGCGAAGGGAATTTTCACAGATCAAGAAAGAGAGATATCGTCAAATTGGGCAAAATTATTCATGAATTTCTCCCACAAGGAATTTTCCTCCTTCCCTCGCGGGCGCGCGAAAAAAGCGCGAGACATGGAGATTTAAGTGTCTCTCCTCTTCAGGCGCACTTAAAAAGGATGTCAACTTTGAATTTTAATTTCAACAATCGCATAACTAATTCTGATTTACGATTATTTCGCCGTGGAGATCCTTTTTTCCCTACGTGAGAATCCAAAACGGGGTCTTTTGGCGTTATTCTTTTATCTGCTCAGCACCAGAAGGGGCAAAAGAGGCCATCATTTCGTCAATAATGGTGCGAAATCTTAATTAAATAGACCAACTTCGAGATGTTTTGTGAGCTTTGCAAGCAATTACGGGCGTCCAGAGAAAGTTCAAATTGAGGTGTTTTTTTGGAATGAAAGACAGAATTTTGTGGAATCTTTTGGTGAATTGATACAAAACTATTTATTCATTATCGATAATTGCAGGAGAAAGTCTTGAATTTCACCGCATAATGAAATATAAACTATGAAACAGAGTCAAAAGACAGTTTCAAGATGAAAATAACAGAAATGCACATCTTTCTTCAGAGATCATTGATATTTTCCTAAATAAGGGCGGAGCATATAAGGAGGCGGAGCTTCTATTAGCGAAACAAAACATAGAAAAAAGGAATTAATTCAATTATTTTCGTTCGTATTTCCATTTTAACGCTCTTGAGGACTTCTTTAGGAGACTCAAAGCCCTATTAGAGACAGAAAAAGATGGATTAACACATAATTTTCATTAAAATAAGAGCAGAACCTCTTCAATATTCTCTCTGTGCGGTTCTGGGCGCTTCCGCATATGACTATATCGAAGATTTGACAAGATATTTTGATGGATAATTAAGTATTTACGCGTGGAACTTCCTCAGCCGCTCTTCTGATATCAATTAAACCTCTCGAAACTAGTTCAAAATCGCACTTTGATGTCACGATTTCATGAATTACGTCAATTTTCAAGTGCTCGCGTGAGTAATCTCGAGATTCCTCGTGTTTATCAGAGGCTCAATTGTATATAAACGAACGCCAAGTCTTGAGAACTTCATTGTAGTTTGAGTAACTCTTGCTGGAAAATGAAGATCGCAATTTGCACAGCTTTGATCATTGGATTCGCTGCTTTTGCTTCGGCAAAACCCAGAATTGTGGGCGGAGAAGAAGCAATTCCTCACGAGTTTCCATACATGGTAAGTATGATAAGGTGCCAAACACTGAAAGGATGAAGCTAAGAGACAAAACTTCTGCAGATATCCTTGCAACAGAACGGCAGACACTTCTGCGGCGGAAGCATTCTCAGCGAAGAATGGGTTTTAACTGCTGCTCACTGTTTGGTGAATTTCAACGAGGACACAGAGATTGTCGCCGGCGCGCACAGTCTCAGTCAGCCTGACGAATTCGAGCAGAGAAGGAAGCATTCAAGGACGATCGCGCATGAGGATTACTTGGGCGGCGTTAATCCTCATGACATTGCGCTGATCAAGATTTCGGAGCCCTTTGAGTTCAACCAGCAAGTGTCAAGCCTCAATCTGACCCTGGTCGAGCCTCACTATCCCACTGGCCAGGCCACGTTCTGCGGCTGGGGATCAGTGGCCAAGAGCATGAACTACAACTTCCCCGACAAACTCATGAAGGCCAATCTGACGATCATGGAGTCCGGGAAGTGCTTCACGCGCTATCCGGAGCGGCCGATTCACGAGAGCAACATCTGCGCTGGGGAAGAAGATGGCTCCAGGGCGATCTGCAGCGGAGATTCTGGTGGTCCTCTTGTGCAGAAGAACGCCGATGGGGAAATTGTGCTGTACGGAGTCGCGAGCTGGACTTTTCTGCCGTGCGGAACGGCGGGAAAAACCGGCGTTTTCGTCAACGTAACGCACTTCTTGCAGTGGATTTTCCAAGGGATGAGAAGTCAATAAAACATTTCATTAAGAGACTGATTGTGAAAGCCTGATTTTTCAATAAAATTTAAATATTTAATTAATTATTCTTAAATTAGAATCAAAATTTTAATAATGTTTCTATATTTCCATATCTCCCAAAGTTCTTGCATGATTGTCGAAAGTATTACAGATTTGGATAACTTACTTAATCACCTACAATTCTCTAGAACATGTGAAAGTGGATAAATGAACGCCAGATGGTGTAAATGATCTTTTTCCGCAATCATGTCTTCTTGTTCATTTTACACTAAAAATAATCACAGCGGCGCCATTTTGAGGCGGATTTCCAAGATTCTTGGCATTTCGGAAAACTGACTTTACAACCTACAATTTTCTAGAACACATAATTTGTGTTAAACCACGTCTTCACATGTTTTAATGATGTTTTAGCAGAAATCTATGAAGTTTGGGGAACGTTTTCTTATCCATTTTGCACAAAAAAACACTCGTAAAAGTGCTTTTCTTGTCGGATTTTCAACAGTAAACAGTGTTTTGGAAAGCTTAATAGATTGCCTACAATTGTCTAAAAAAAATAAGAAAAAAAGAATAAAATGATAAAAATGGGAGTTTTTCCCTGGATTCTTATCAGTGTTCGGCTGCAAAGTTTCGTCGACAGTTGCGCAGTGTGCAAAGTTTCCCGAAGATTTCTCGTCGAAAGGCAAGATTTCGCGAAAGTTTGAAGCCTCGCAACGTGCAGACGTAGTGACAGCTGGACGATGAATGGCGCTTTGAGTGGGTGATATTTTGATGTGAGAAAAAGCCTCTTTGCCGTGCATCAGGACCACAATTGTGAATGCGAAGCGATGGAGTGGAAGGTAGGGAGTGCGCGTGGCCATTCCCCTGACCTCTGATTCCTCTGACCAGTCCTCTCGGGGCGCTCTTCCGCAGGTGCTGCTGGTGTCGCTGCTCCTCCGTCTGTTGGCGTGCGTGCACGCGTTCTACGTGCCGGGAGTGGCTCCGGTGGAGTTCGTGCGCGGCCAGCGGATCGACGTGAAGGCGGTGAAGATGACCAGCACGCACACGCAGCTGCCCTACGAGTACTACTCGCTGCAGTTCTGCCTGCCCAAGAACGGCACGCTCGAGTACAAGACGGAGAATCTGGGCGAGGTGCTGCGCGGCGATCGCATCGTCAACACGCCGTACGAGGTGCGGATGGCCGAGAACGTGCCGTGCAGGCTGCTGTGCAATGACAGGGACCGGCCGCTGAACTGGGACCGGCAGCAGTCCGTCAAGGTGGCGGAGCGCATCAGGCACGAGTACTTCGTGCATCTGTGAGTACTTCCGGGCTTCCCACCCGCTGGGGGCGCACTAATGGGGCTCTCTCCGCCTTGCAGGCTCGTGGACAACCTGCCCGTGGCCACGAGGATCATCAACCCGGACTCCATGGAGGTGCAGTTCGAGCACGGCTACCGGCTGGGCCAGATGGAGGCGGATCACGCCTTCATCAACAACCACCTGAAGCTCATCCTGTCCTACCACATGCACACCAAGGACAAGTTCCGCGTGGTGGGCTTCGAGGTGGAGACGCTGTCTGTGAACGCCAAAGATCTCAAATTCGACGGCGGCGCGTGCGCGCTGCCGGACAACCCGAAGCCGCAGGAGGTCAGCCTGTCCAGCAACACGCAGCTGTACTTCACGTACTCCGTGGAGTGGAAGGAGAGCGCCGTGAGCTGGGCGTCGCGCTGGGACATCTACCTGGGCATGAACGACGTGCAGATCCACTGGTTCAGCATCATCAACTCGCTGGTCGTGGTGTTCTTCCTCTCCGGCATCCTCACCATGATCATGGTGCGGACGCTGCGGCGCGACATCGCGCGCTACAACACCGACGACAGCTTCGAGGATGCGCTGGAGGAGACGGGCTGGAAGCTCGTGCACGGCGACGTGTTCCGGCCGCCGCGCCATCCGCGCCTGTTCGCCGCCGTGATCGGCAGCGGCATCCAGATCTTCTTCATGGCGCTCATCACCATCTTCTTCGCCATGCTCGGCATGCTGTCGCCGGCGTCGCGCGGCGCCCTCATGACGTCCGGCATCTTCCTGTACGTCTTCATGGGCCTGATCGCCGGCTACTTCTCCGCGCGCCTCTACAAGACCATGAAGGGCAGGGAGTGGAAGCGCGCCGCCTTCCTCACCGCCACGCTGTATCCGGGCATTGTGTTTGGGTGAGTAATTGCTCTCAGGCGCTTCTGACCCCGATGACTCCGAGTCGCTTCAATCGCTTCAATCAATACTCTCTGGAGAGATAAACTGGGAGCGGGATTTTGCATCGCAGACAGTCTTTGCGATCGATCGGAGCAATGAACGGCGCAGAATCGAGAGGTTAAGCGGGGAGGACAGTTAATTGTGACAATGAAAGAGCGAAAAAGTACAGAAATTCATCAATTTCTCAGGATCAAACTTATGTTTAATCCACATTTTAGGCTCTTCAAGTGCCTTTGGATTTAAAGTTTGAAGGCCAAAATTCAAATTTTAAAGTACTGAATCGATTTTGATGCTTTTCCGAAGAATTACTAATTGTTTTTTCAGTTAATTCGATATGTTATTTCATTTTGGACTACGTTTAAACGTGAAGTGAGCATCAATTTTTGGTATTTGACCAATTTTGACAGTCAGAATGGTCAAAATACTGATTTCTCACGGATAGGAAGACATCAAGATCAGCTAGGAATGGGTTTAAAAACCATCAGAAGGGCTTTAAGGCAAGCCTTTGGCTGTATTTGATCTTCTTCTGGCACTTGAGTTCGGCTTCAAATCGCGTCTGTTGCATTTGGAGTGTTTTTTGTCCATTGAAATCTCAGCTCCCGATGAGCAAAACTGCGCTGTTCAATGCTCCCAAAAACATAGAGTTTTTGTGCCCAATCCAGAGGTGAGAGTGTGTCTGTTTGATCGCTTCAGGACGGGCTTCTTCCTCAACTTCTTCATCTGGGACATCCACTCGAGCGGCGCCGTGCCGTTCAGCACGATGCTGTCGCTGCTGTGCCTGTGGTTCGGCATCTCCGTGCCGCTGGTGTACCTGGGCTACTACTTCGGCTACCGCAAGCAGGCGTACCAGCACCCGGTGCGCACCAACATGATCCCGCGCCAGGTGCCAGCGCAGCAGTGGTACATGAATGTGGCGCTGTGCACGCTGATGGCGGGCATCCTGCCGTTCGGCGCCGTGTTCATCGAGCTGTTCTTCGTGTTCTCGGCCATCTGGCAGAACCAGTTCTACTACCTGTTCGGCTTCCTCTTCCTCGTGTTCTGCATCCTGGTGGTGAGCTGCGGCCAGATCTCCATCGTCATGACGTACTTCCAGCTGTGCGGCGAGGACTATCGCTGGTGGTGGCGGACGTTCATCGTGTCCGGCGGCTCGGCGGCGTACATCTTCTTCTACAGCATCTTCTACTTCTTCACGAAGCTGGAGATCACGGAGTTCATTCCCACGCTGCTCTATCTCGGCTACACTGGACTGATGGTGATGACCTTCTGGCTGCTCACCGGCACCATCGGCTTCTTCGCCGCCTACAGCTTCATCCGCAAGATCTACGGCGCCGTGAAGATCGACTAGAGCCGCGCTCAGCTCCTCGCACTCGCATCCAGTCGCGCGCGTCTCCCGTCGACCCAAGACTTGTCCCTGTTTTCTTTTTTTGTATTTAATTTAATTGATGAAATTACATTTAATATAATGCGAAGTGTTTAACAACCTCTAATGCAGAGTGTAACAAAGACAGAATCGAAGTAAATTTATTGTAAAAACCACGCGTTTTCATTCGTCACTCAGCGATGCGTTTCCAAGAATCTTTCACAGGCTGGAATGAAAACGAGCGGGAGAAGGGCAGAAGCCAGCGATATATCGACCGATATATCGAAAAAGTACAGGATTTCAAATGCTGCGCACAAAATAACAAATCTCAGCCAGGAAGAAATGCTCAGTGTGAAACATTTACCCAACTGTTAAGAGAGGAAAGTAATGTCCTGGAAGAAGCCTTCAAAGAACAAGGAATACAAAGAAATATCTAATGAAATAACAGCCAACTTGGCCGTTATTTCTAGGTTATGCGGGATTTCGGGGATTCACCGCAATACTGCTGACTTCAGCTTTGTTATTGTGATCGCAGGAGATTTTTGGGCGTCATCACAAAGCGTGTCTGAGCAAAGAAAGTGTCGGGAATTGTGAAATTAGAAGCTGAATTGTGCCAATACAGATATCATTTGAAGAGGAAAAGCTGCGGAATGGAAGGCTCGAGTTCGAGAGACAAGAGAAAACATCAGGAATCTTCCCAGGATCACTTTGTGTGCGCGCGCAAGAAAATGTGGTTATATCGGGAGAATGAAACGCTTTGCGACGTGATTCTGATCGCTGGAGAAGATAAGCAGAGGTGAGTTCGCAGTTTTCCACTGTCTTGGCTTCTTGAGAATCTCATCCTGGCCACTCCTTCACAGAATCTCCGCCCATCGTAATGTCCTGTCAGTGGCTTCTGATTACTTCGAAGCAATGTTCACGGGAGACTTCCGGGAGTCTCGGGAAGAAGAAGTGACTCTGGACGAGATTCCGGGAGACGATCTTCGGCGTCTGGTGAAGTTCTGCTACACAGGAGAATTAGAACTGAGCGAGGAAAGTTCTGTGGAATCCGTGAAGACGCTCATGAGCTCGGCAAATCTCCTTCAATTGAAAAGCGTGGTAAAAGCTTGCGGTGCTTTCCTGGAACGTCATCTCAGTCCCTCAAACTGGCTGGGAATCGCTGAGTTTGCTGATCAGCACAGTTATGACGCTCTTCTTGAAGCGGCAAGGAAGTACGCAAACCAGCATTTTCTCGAAGTGTGCAAGGAGCCGGAGTTCCTTCAGATCTCCGCCAAACAACTGGGCAAATTGCTGGCCAGCGATGATCTCAACGTGCCATCTGAGGAAGACGTTTTCCGTGCGTTGCTGGCGTGGTTTCAGCGCGCTTCTGAGGAGCGGAAGAATTACATTCCCGATCTTTTGGTGCTCATTCGACTTCACCATCTTTCTCCCGAGGTTAAATTTGATGATTCAGTTCTTGTTTCTCAACTCTTCAATAATTCTTTCTTTTCTTCCTTTGGCAGTTTATCGTCGATCAGGTGAAGCCGCTGTGCGAGAGCACGAATTGCCTGGATTTGGCGATGAAAGCTTTTGAGTGGAAACTCATTCCGGAACGCCGTGATCTGATGCCCAACCAGAAGTCTCGTCGATCAGGAAAAGAAAAGTTGTTGGCTGTGACTACGGATAGTTTCAGGAATCCTTATGTCCTCAGATTGTATTGTCCTGAAACCAAGCAGTGGACAATTGAGACGGAATTTGTGATCGGTCGGTATGATTGTATAACAGTTCTTGCGAACAACAATATAATTTTCATTGAAGGGTATGAAGGAGGAGTTTCAAAGAAAGTGGACAGTTTTGATATCAAAACCAAGACAGTAAAATCGTGAGTGTTTCTAAAAGGAAGCGCAAATTTAATATCTTTTATCCACATAAATATCTTCTCTTGCAGCCTCTCACCGATGAATTACAAACGCCGTTTCTGCTGTGCTGCAGTTCTGGATGGATTTCTCTATGTGTTTGGTGGCGAAGATAGTAAAAACAGTTTCCTGAACACAGTGGAGCGATTGGATCTGAGCAACGGAATCTGGAACATGGAAACTCCGATGCAGACTAAGCGATACGACGCTGGAGCCGCAGCCTTCGAAGGACGATTGTTCGTGATCGGCGGATTCAATGAGAAGAATCAATGTCTTAATTCTGTTGAGCGTTACGATCCGCAAACGAAGAGGTGGAGCTTGATGGCTCCCATGGTGAAACGACGATATCATCCTGGAGTGACAGCAACCAGAGACTACATCTATGCTTTCGGCGGGAAAGACCACGAGAATAGAGAGTTATCATGCGTGGAGAGATACGATCCCAGGGCAAATTTGTGGACTATCGTGGCGACGCTCAATATTTCTGGTCGGATTAGATCTGTTCTTGTGGGAGAGAAAATTCTATGTGCTTCAATGCGTTCAAGGGTAATTAGAATTGCAACTTTAGAAAGTTTTAACTTGTAATAATTTGTTTTTTTTTATTCGTTTTATAGAAAGTTGTGCAATTCGATCCGGAAAACAACACTTCGACTGAATTTGCGCAATTGGATTTTCCATCAGTCCATTATTTGGAAAATCTTTTTTACAACACTGACAACTGATGCGCTCAACAAGCACAATATTCCCTCGAACCTCTCAAAGATATCTAGAATGGTGATTTGGCATCACGTGAAAATCCTAGATTTCCACTGAATTTTCCACTCATTTCCTAAATATTCGATAGAAAACACAAGAAGCTGCGGAAGGTGAAAGTTTAAAGATAATCTTGCAAAATAACTGCAAATATTCCTTGAAATTTGGAGTGAAATTAAAATTGGAATTCTGTTGAAAGAGAAATAAAAATGTTGCGAAGAAGCGTTAAAAACAAAACAGGAAAAAAAACATCTAAACTTATTTAACACAAACAATTCTCGTTTCGTCGAAAACTTCCACCAGATTTTCCATAAGAATTTTCCTATGTGGAAAAATAATTCAAAAATTGCCATTGAAGATTCTCGAAAGTTATTAATCTGCAGAAATTTTAGCAAAAAAAAAATCTCATAATCTGGAGGGAAAAATGTGCGTTTTTGGTCCTTGAGTTTTCGAAGTACGGAAAGATCATCCTTTTGTCCACCTTGAATGAATGAATGAATAGTTTATTATGTTACTTGTCCACCTTGAGAAATGCGCCAAAAGACATAAAATTCGTCGAGATTGTCCGAAAGTCAGAAACATGTTTCCCTGAAACACGAATGAAACCAACATTGTAGACACGAGAAACATGATCTCTTAATATCTTTCATTTTCATTTAATTTAAGATTTTTTTTTTTGTTTGTAACATGATCCTCAAATGCTCACTTCTAAATTCCTACATCTTCTGCCCCTAATTAGTATAGTTCTCCAAAAGACCATTGTTTTTTTTTCTTAAGATGTTTTTACAGTCATCAAAAAGTGTGTTCAAAAATTGGTTGTTCTTTTTTCTCTGCCAAGAAAAATTCCCCATCAAACATTTTCTTTTTTTCCATTTGTGATTTCTCAAGAGAAGAAGAAGAAGAAGAAAAATGGGCGCGTTTTCTTAAAGCAAACAGATTTCAGATGAGCGATTTTTCCCTCCTCAATTTTCCACATTATGGTCTTTGTGTCTCTAAAATTCTCTTTTTCTCCGCACAATAAATTGCTTGAGTGTTGTTGTTGTTGTTGTTGCTGTTTTTCTTTGCCATTACACATCCATTACACTATTTAACATTACTAAAAATTACTGGAAGATTTTTTTCTCTCTCTCTCTCTTTACGTTTTACATGAATTCTCCATTTAATCAGTTTAAGAGCTCAGAATCGATGTGACTTCTACTTCTTATTTCTTTTAAACTCTCTTGTTTTTTTTTAGTTGCTATTTCGATAGTTGCTTTTGAATAAGTTTTACTCTCACATTCCATCGTCAACCTCTCGCAATTAATTTAATAATTAAATCATGTTAAGATTAAAACGTGTGGTATTTCAAAGTAATACAAATTTAAACATTTCTCCTCGCCTTTTTTCTCTCCCATTTAAACATCAATATATAAATTATAATACTACAGAGAACATAATATACGTGTAAAGATTATAATTGTGTTGATATTTTTTTTTTTTAATGTTTTAAGGAAAAGAATACATATATTCAGTGTGTTTCGCCACAAAAAAGACTCAACGAATTCTCTTATCTTCACACACTCAATTCTCATAAAAATCTCCAAATAACCAATCGAAGAAACATTAAATTCTAACATCCTTTTTATACAGACTCTCCTGCGGAACAGAAAACATAGTGCGCGATGCAAATAAAAATAGAGACAAAAAGGGAGAAATAATAAAATACATTGAGAATTTATCCTTCAAAAACCACGCATTTCACCACATTTCATCTCTCTTTTCCTTCTTGTTAAATAAATGTCTAGCAATAGATTATGTATCTCTTCTTAATATAATTAACAAGTAATCATATTCCACTTCCTCTCGTCCTTTCTCTCTCTTTCTTTTTTTCCTAGGAGGTTTATTTATTTTTTTTTTTTTAGTGATCTGCGCGCAATTTATCCTTCCACCACTTCGACATAGTTGGCCGGATAGAGACCCACTTTGCCATTTTTCCTCCCTTTGCACCATCCCTGCTCGTCCTCGTCCTCCAGCTTCTCGAAGACGTCGCCTGGAAGTGGAGCAGAACGTGTTAAAATGATGACAGACAAGAATTTCACTTCATTTTTATATGAATATTCGAATGGCATCTTAAATCTTTCGATTTATTTCTTATTTCTTTCACTTTTTATCTGATGATGTGTCAAGATTTCATCTAATTTTAAAAAGTCAATAAGAATAAAGCAATTGGAAAGAGATTTTGTATGAAAAGTGCATGTTTTGAGACTCAAAACACTATCATTTTGTGGTGTGGAAAAAAGAAGAACAGCGTTTGTGTATTGAGGAAAAGCATTTCAATAAATCACAAAGTAATTCATGTGAAACTAATTAAGGTTTCTACAAAATATTTCTCGTTAATTTGAGTGGAGAAAATGACATGAATCTGCATTTGTGATTTCGGTGCAATTTTGACTTCATAATCTCTCTTTTATGGTTCTATAAATCCAAAAGTCACTTAAAATAGGCCAAAAAAACAAGGATAAAACTTTCCTGATTCTGTAAGAATATTATCATTTTCACATAACTTTATCTTCTCAGCATTCAACGAAGAGATTAATTTAATTGCACTTTTGTGCTGTTGATAAGTGTCTGTTTTTAAATGCTGTCTGCAATATTGTAATCATCGTAATCATTGTAATACAGCGCTAAACACTAATCCATTTACACCTCTATTTCGCTACGCATTGTAAGTAATTGTGATACATTTTAACACTCTTGTCGAGTGCGCTTCTTTCCCCCACACACTCCCCCCATCGGCGGCAAACTCTCTGTGTGTGCAATTGAGTAAGTGAAACATGCGCGTATCGCTTCCAAAACGTCCACGAGCGGAAATTCTCCACGCACGATTGATGGTGAACATAAATTTTCGAGAATTCCAACAAAATTTCCCGTCAAAATCCATGCAATTACCTTGCTTGAAGGTCAGCTCATCACTCTCTGCACTCTCATAGTCATACAACGCCTTCACCGGAACGCCAGGCTCGCCATTGTCCACGAGCACATTGTCAGCGGCATCGCCTTCGTCCCACTCCTCCTCGTCGAACGGATTCTGCTCCGCTTTTCCATTTCCATTGCTGCAAATATCGATGCCATTGAGAGAGAGTCATTCTAGACATTTTCCTGCACAATATTTTGCATTCTGAAACTCACGTTGTAATCGTGGCTGATTGACGACTCGGCGACACTTCGCTCTTCGCATTGCTCTCCGACTTGGGCGAATCCATGCTGGAGGAATTTCGGGATGTTGTGGAATTCTTCACGCTCAAATTCACCGAAGTACGATTGACACTCCCTTTGCTACTCGGCGGCGGTGGATAATCCTGTGCACACGCAAAAGCAACACACATTATCAATCGTGTGTCAATGATTTGTGAAACACAAAACACGAGGAAGGAAGAAGTGAGAGAAAAGAGCACTTTCTCTATATATATATATTTACTGTGCTGCCAAACAATTTCTCACTTTTTCCTTCACACGCGTTCATATTTTTTCTTCTTCTTTAAATATTTCCTCCGTCTGCCTTCTTTGCAAAGAAATGCTCAATGAACAGTGCAAACAGTCACAATTAAAATAAAATTCATCATATAAATTCAATGCATTTTAAAATAACATAAAAGGCGAGAACGAAATAAATAATAAATAAACAAGGAGCAAATAAGTGTTTTTCACAGTGAATCGTGAGTGGAAAATTGGCAAATTTTGATCAACAATTTCAATAAGATAAAAAATGGATCCAAAATGAGATAATTAAGTCGAACAAAACCTTAATTTTCCCCAAATTTGACTCAATGAATAACATTCTAAAGTCAATTAAGAGACGATTTGATCTGAATTATTATTAAATAGCGCAAATTTAATCATCACGACGAGTTTTTCAACTTAAAAACTATCAAAATTACAGTGAAAAAACAATTCTTCAATAAAATTTGAATGCAGAATTAAGCGAATTAAGCGAAAGCATCTAAATTTAGCACAGTTAAAGGAATAATAAGACTTTTGTCGCTATTTTCACTGCGAAATCATCGTCGATTGGGGCGGAAAACTCGACAAATCGACACACTTATTCACTCCTTCTAAATAAAAATCCACCATGCGTACATGCAAATCATCGCCGACGGGCCGCTGATGGATCAGTGTTATTGGTGCGGCCGGAAGTGCTTCCTTGGACTTGTTCCCTTTGGCAATGTCACGGAATTCCTCAGTGTACTCCTGCACAACGAAATGAAAGAGAAAAGAACGAACCAAAAAAACACACAAAATCAATAAAGGCAAAAGAAAGCGCTGAAAATTCTTCTTTCTTTCTTTTCTTCTTCTTCTCCCCGAGCACAAAATTTGAGTGCACAACTCAGCATAAAACGTCCAAAAATAAATAAATATAAACATGGATAAAAGAAAATTGAAATAACAATTTTCCAAAGCATCGCGCGCGCACATCGATGGCCAATTTTGAATAGAATATTTTCGCGTCTGTTTGCGAAATACTCACGATAAATGCTGGCCAGTTCATCGCCATGTTGACACCGTGATTGTTGGACCACCACTTGAGGTCCTTCTGATGGTCGGCATTGTTGATGGTGTGGTAGAACTCCTCGTAGATCTGCGGCAAGCTCGACTCCTGCGAGATGTTGAGGGACTTGTGAATGGCAAAGAGCACCTGCTTGAAGAATCGCAGGCGCGTCTCCTCCATCTGTTGGCACTTCTCAAACACCGACGTCATGTCCTCAATGTAGATCGGATTGTATTTGTTAATCTCACTGAGTGACTGCTCGTACTTCTCCCGACACTTCTGCACCTCGTCCTTCGTGCGCTGCACACGATCCTGCAGCTTCTTCACCTGATGAGACAGAAAAAACACACACGCAATCAAGTCATTGCAAGTGAAGAAAGCACGAAAAAACAACATTCAATTGCACAATTATTCAATGATTCTTCAATGCGATTAATGCGGTTAATGATATTCTCAAAAAGAAGGCTTCGAGGACAATAATAGGGAAGAGCGATAAGTGAAATCTCATTCAAATACTCACGTTAGGGTCAGACTGTAAAAGAGAGACACGAATTAATTGGTGGGATTATTTACCACGATGTTTTAATACAAAATTACACATAAAGTGATTTTTAATTTCACCCAAAAATTTGCCCTCCCCAAAACAACAACACAATGCGCACCAAACTATTTTCTCTCTCTTCATACTGATTTCATCAGAAAGCATTCTACAATAATGTGTGTGTTGTGTGTGAGTTTATGTGTTAAATTACGTGAATAAATGAAGGAATCTGCAAAAGTTTCCAACGAATTTCCGTAGAAAGGTGTTAACAAATTGTCTTTCATTAATAACTCTTGCGCAAGAAGTTTTTCTGCTGAGACTTAAATAATTTTTGCTTAAAATATTGCAATCAATGCCAAAAAAAAATCCCAGAGAAAATTTGCATAAATTTTGTAAATCTTAATGTGTTGTAAAGACACAAATTCTGGTGTGAATCTATTGAATTCTTCAAGGTGTTTTTCGATGAACACACAGAACAGAATGTTAATTCACCTGAGGCAACATTAAAAAATTCTTTGGCTCTTCTAAATTAACATCTCGATTTATTCTAACCATCAGAGATTCTCTCTTTCTCTTCTCTCACTTATTGTGACGTTAGAAAATCCATCGATTTCACTCTCTCAACAATTATAGTGAAAATATATTGATTGTCGCGCAGTGACACAAAAATGCCACGAATGTGAGCAAAATAATACCTCATTTTTCATATCAACGACACTCTTTTTTACACAAAACTTTCCAGAACACATTCAATATAAACACACATAAAAAAAAATTACTGAATCATCCATATTTTATACTTGAGCCTCTTTCGCTCGACATTTATAACAATTATATATTGAATTTCTGAGTTGCTTATCAATATTTGATTGCACGCAAGAAATCTATCTTGTGTTTTGGAGGGGAAAAATTATATCAAGAAAGTTTTGTGCTGTGATCTTATCAGTAAGTAAATATTTCTCTTTCTGATTGTAACATTAAATTCAAGCGCTCGCGGCGAGAGTTCAATTCAAAATTTATGCATGAATTCAATTGAGGATTCGCCGGGGAAATTCTGTGTGTCTGTGTTTGTGTGCATCAATCTCTCTCACCTGATCAGGAGATAGTGAGCTATCGGCGCCGGCATTCCGCTCTTGATTTGTTGCCGTCTTCTCCGTCTTGCACGCCGAATGATAGTCTGACTTGGCCTTCTCCACCTTGGCCAGATGCTTTGCCCACGGCTTCTGCGCCTTCTTGAACATCTCCTCCATCTCCTTCCTCTCCTTGATCTGAATCATAGTCTGCGCGAGAGAAATAACACATCATCTCTCAGTGATTTATTACAGCGCAAAGTGTGCACTTCACTGACTCACTTTGTGATAATTGTCCTTCTGCCATGTTTTTATCTGATTGCTCACGTCACCCATCAAATTCTCCTTGATCTTCAGATGCACTTCCGACAGGCGATCAGCCTCAGTGAGTATTCCCTTCCATGCAGCCTCAATGGTGCCATATTCAGGTCCTGCCGCGAGAGAAATAAGACCGAAACATAAGTTATTTTGCATTTGGCGATGAGCTAATTTATAATAATAACGCAAATATTTGCTTTTAACTAATATATTTTCAAGGAAAAATACTCATTTGATTCCATGTTTTCTCTGGAATTTCATAAAAATCACTCAAACGACAAAAAAGCAGAGATAAAAAAGCTTGCACGCAAATTTATCGTAGTTTTATTCAATATTCCAACACACAATTTTCACTACTTTAGGCTTTGATTACTCTTGGAAAACGTTGAAGGACTTCACTTAAAGCAAGGAATGTGAACTATTTCTATTCATGGCCCAAAAGCATTCAGAAAAGACACTTTTCTTGTCCTCTTGAAAGGGATAAAGAGTGTATTTATCATGTGAGTGAGCTTTTGAACATCTTGTGTGGTTTTTTATGAACCACAAACGCGAGTTTTACCATGTTTTCTTTCAGATCAATCAGAGAATCGGGAAAATTGACCGAGGAAGAAGACTTGAAGGCTTTCATTCGCCAAATCATGAGGCAAAGTGTACTCTTTTGGCCAATTGCACCAAATTGTCACCATCAGGAAGGCATCAATGGAGGAGTCATGCGACAAATTTCACCGTTTTTTTTCCATCTTCACACACAGAAACCACACATTAATTGATACATTTGGAGGGCAATCCTCCACAGAGAGAATCTCTCTCTCATCTTCGCATGCTCTTGCGGAACCGGTTTCATTTCTCCCGTGGAATGTCTCACGAAAAATCAACGCACAACCTAAGCAAGTTGGAGTCCAAACACGAGACAAACTGGACACAAATCCAGATTCTACACTTGATCCTCAACACACCCGTTCAACGGTCAATTTCAATTAGTCCGCGCGCGAGAGCACAAGAAAAAGCGACACAAACATTCGGAGATGATGTGAAAGAACTCTCTCTCTCTAACAGAATCTCCAAAAACAGTGCAAAGAGATGCAACAAAAGTCACTCATTACATTCAATAAAAATCAGCTGAAATATACAGTCAATTCGCCACAACTTGTTGCATTTCCCCTTAATCACAACACAACAACTGTGCACATTTTTGCGTGTGTAAAATTTCAATTTCTTTTTCCTCATCTCCTCTTCTGAATGTCACACAAACACAGAAAGAGAGATAAATTCCACATTTGCTAGAAGTGGACAAATGGTGCGGAGGACAAAAAGAGAAGCTCATGAGTGAGAATTTCCTGCGACAGTTGAAAAGACAGGCAAAAGAACAGAATAGAGAGTGTGTGAAATTTGCATCGCATTGAAATTATATGCACACACATGTTGAAGACCCCAAGAATTGAAGATAAGCAACAAATCCGCGCATTTTGCCATCTTCAAGCATTGATCGAGGCAAGATCTGCATAATTAAGTTGCAAACACGTTCTATACGCGCGCTCCTTTTCTCCACACAATCCACAAACTCTATGCTTCTTCACACAAATCATCATAGAAGACAGAGAGAATATATTCAGAATTGGTGTCCGCGCGCGTCGCGCTGTTTTTATCCAACAATGTCAATGTCTATGCGCCTATATTTAGCAACACATCACAAAATATTGCGCTCGCAAAATCGTGATGCCGGAATATTTAATAAAAAACACAACACAAAACAGCAGCAAAAATGCCACACATGAGATCATGCAAAGCCACAACTTCTCTCACATCATCAACAGAGTGAGAGAGATTCACTCCCTCGCCTAGAGATCATCTTAATTGGACGCCTTTTGAGCCATTTGTTCTTTCCTAATATGCGCTTGTCGGGATTGTGATGATCAGAGCCAGAGGAACTCTTTTATGTTCACACTTTCATCGTTCACTATAAGTGGGATCGCCTGTCAATTTCAGTCTGATCGTTTGCGGTCGCGCATTGAGAGCTCAATGGAAAAAGCTCAAACAGAGTGAAGAAAAAAGACAAACACTCACAAGCGGGAGTGGTAGCGACACAAGTGAATTGTTTGGGCAAGAATTTGCTTCAATAATTGATTGATTTTAACCCTTTCTGTGTCAAAACATGAAAATTGAGAATTTACCCTCAATATCGGTTCAAAATATGCCAAATTCATCTTAAACTGTCTCCAATAACACATTAAAGTGATTGACATTCATCTATTTTCATTATTTGATATGATTTTCAGTTGATTTTATTGGAAATTCAGTCAAAATTCCTCATTTTCCCAATAAAAGCATCAATAATTTTGGATATAATTAAAACATTACTCTAATTTTGATGAGACAATTAGTTATTCAGTAAAATATTTTAATTATTGTGTCATTTAACTAGATTACACAACGTGTTATTATTATTTTATCGTTAAGCAAATGAATATTTTGTGCAAATCATCGCAATTTTCAGTGTCTAAAATCGATTCGGAGCAAAATGTGCGTCGATTTTCTACCATTTTCGAATTCTTTTTGCCACACTTTAATAGCTAAAAAAGCTCTTTATTTTTACAGGAAGAATTCATAAATATTTCGGGATAATATTTCTTAGAGAAACATGAAGAAACTCCTTGATTTGTTTCCTTCCAATTGGAATCCAGGTAAGCGAACAGGAAACCAATTGGAGATCAGTGAAATGTGTCAAAGGGTTAAATAAGATTTGCTTCAAAAGCGAACGTATTTTAAGGTGGATCTTCTCCTTGAATGATTCTATTCATAATTCCGTCGATTTTTCCCCCACAAATCAACCAGTTTGACAGTGAAACATCCCAACAACACCTCTTTGGCCGACACAAGCAATTAACCATTTCATATCTCCCAATCAAGCTCATTTCCTTGCCTGTCTGATTGCCCTTTATCACTCGCTAGTTTCACTTCAGCCACTCTTGGTGATAAATCTGAAAAAAATTCCCTCCTGAATATAATTCATCATCATTCTCTACCCAATTGAATCACACTTTTTCGACCCGCCGAACTCATGTTTTGATCCAATTTCAATCATTTTAAGGTCACACTTTACAATTTACAATTTCTGATTATTATTTATGACTCAATAATGGCGCTTATTACGCCGCCATGAAGAGACTCGCGCTGTATCTCTCGCTCTATTCCTCAATTGACCAAAATTGAATTACACCAGATGTGAAGCTGTCAATAAAACTGACCATTGAGCTTTGCGAAGTTCAAAGAGACAATTTTCCACCACAACAACTCGAGCAGCAGATCTTGTAAAACTTGCTGGAATTTACTGTTTGGCAGAGGCAATTGAGATGTGTGTACACAAAAGTTTATCTCAACACTTACAGATAAGGCGCGAATGCTTCAGAAGAAAGCTCAACAATTTACGGAATCTTTGCTATTCCCAATCAAGTGATATCCAATTAATTAAACAATCTGCATAGCTTGTTCCGAAGGAATGCCAAGAATGTTATCCAGAACACTTGAAGTTCTTCGAATGCTTTGGCAATGAAATGAGACAGCAAAAGAACTTCCTGAGTGGACAAAACTTCATCATTATTTTTTTTCTGGCAAACTGTTTAGGCTTTCCTAACGGACGATCGAGCACTGTTGAAAGTCAATATTCATCAACTGTCCACGCTTTGCATGGCACGAAAGAAGCGCAAATGCATTTTCAGAGTGTGCGTGGGTTTTTCCTCTGATTGGAGGAGTGCAATAAAAATCCCATTTATCGTCACTCTCTGACTCAATTGAAATATGTCACACACGCTGGCCGTGGCAGTGAAAGAGCACCAATTTGTCAGCCCCTTCGCGAGAATCCAGCGCAGCCTCTCTGATGCTGGCCCAGAATGAATTCCGATGTGCGGAGAAGGAGAAGAAGAAGAAGTGCGCGCGCCACTTGGCCTCATTACATGCCGCTAAATTGCGCTCATCGTCGCGAAAACAGCAATGACCTTGCCGTTGATTTTTGCATACAGGCGTCGAGATGGTCTGCGCGCCTCTTATCTATTCTCTCACCTTCGCACTTCCAGCGCAACAACGCGCGATTGATTGGCCGCAATTGAAAGCGCGCGCGAGTCCACGAAACGTGGGTGTTTCTTTGGCCAAATAGACACACAGAGAGAGAGAACAACATCAGCGCATTGGAACTTCTCCTCTGATCGGTAGTCCGCGCGAGAGAGCCAGCGTTGTTGCCATCGCCAGTGGTAGAAATTATTATGTTAATGAGGTGGAGGAATGAATAAAAAGATTGTAAATCTTCAGTGTCTTCCAATACACTGACGCAATCACCTAAAAATTCCCTCCATTCCCACTTCTACACCTCGCGCTCCTAATCTAATCACAAAAGTGAGCAATGATTTAATGCAAACACACACAGTCTTTTAATTACTATCGTGAGAAGTATTGAATCACACACTCCTCAATATTATTTCTGCTCTATTCAATAAGCTTTGAGCGAGCGAGAGAAAAGTGTTGTGCATGAGGAACAGAAAATTCCGAGCTTCGGCTGCCAATCGGGCAATTTCGTGTGAGAAATTCCATGTCAAAATTTGAATTGACGCTCTTTATCGCCCTTCCTTATCATCATATCTCTATCTCAGGTCACTGTCACTTTGCTCAAGTGTTCTTGGCACAAATTTCTCGCGAGAATGGCAGGAAATTGAGTGAATTTTCATCCAATATCTAAGCTCCGCCCCCGCCAAAGCCCCGCCTTTTCCTGACACGTCGTCTATGCAGGGTATTTTCTACCGTCTGGCCGCGCATCTCTGATCCCACTCGCGCCAGTCTCTGGAGTGCTGTTACCTAATCATCACTATTTACCTTTCTCAATGAGATCGCCCCACTTCTTCGACCACGTCCGGAGGCTCTTGGCGTACGCCTTCTCCATCTCCGCGCGATCCTGGATCAGCGTCTGGAGGTCTGTGCAGAGCCTGCAAAGGCAGAGAAGGGGGAGGGAATGAAAGCGCGCACTTCCAGGCCGTGACCTTCCGGGCACACTCACTTGTAGCCATCCTCTATCCTCTTGGTCGTCCTCTTGTAGTTCCCGGGCTCCCAGAAGGAGTCGCTCCCGGCCTGGAGGAGCTGCTCGTCGCTGTGGTGTGACATGGTCGCCACCGCTGCCCAATTAGTCTCTTCTGCGAAACCGAGGGAGAAAGACAACAATGAGCTCTCGCTTCCTCGCAGTGGCCTGGAAAATTATTGATTGTGCCACAATGGCGTTTTTCCCACTTTTCGGGCCGCCGCTCTCGCGCTCGCCCACGCACTCTGGCCACCGCGGCGGCCCGCTGAGCCCCACTGGCACACGCAGAGGGGCCCCCAGGGCGCCTCTACTCACACAATTCACCGCCTTTCCGCACTGCCTCGGCACAGCACTCGCCAGATACGCACTTATCGCTAATTCGATTAGATGAGCACTCGCGAGGACACCCTGCTCAGCAGCACCCCTGCACCGCGCGCTTGGCACTCTCCGGGCGATTTTCCGCACGCAAACACCGCTTTTCCGACACTCAGGGACACCAGAAGAGTCACTTCAGGGAAGGAAGAGTTGCTCTTCTTGCATTTGCGACTTTCAGGCACGTCATCTGTGACATCCAACGCGGTGTGAAGTTGGCTGCGAACGCGATGCGCGCGAACAGCGCCACTCAGCGGGGGAACGTTCGAGCGCTCGAAAGCGAAGACGCAGAAACTTAACGAACATTTCAGCGCGAACTGAAAAATTAATGTTTTTCGAGCTCTTCTACAATGATTACCATTGGAATTACGGCCATAAAAAATTCTGATTAGGCAATTATGAAAAAATTACTTAATTTTCTCTATAAAATTAATTTAATCAGGCGAAAATTCAGTGTAAAGCTCAGAATATCAAAAGTTTTTCTCTTTTCTCTCTTTAACAATGACAAAAAAGCCCCTTAAATTTCACCCTATACTTACCACAGAAGAAATTCAAATTTTCATTCCTCGCCCACAAAGTGGAAAAGTAGAATGCAAAGTTCATGAAGTGGAAAGAGCGCGAATTCCCAGGCGAAGAGTCTCCGCGGTGGGATTGTGAATAGAAAAAGGAATTTAAATAATTTGTACACAAATTTCTAATACTTTATTTACTTATGCTCATGAAGTTTCCTCATCTTTAAATATGTATTTACCTAGAGAAAAATGTATATTGTAATATCTATATATACAGAGGTTTAAAAAGTACTTTCATAACTTCTTTTATCATAGATATGCTCTCTCTCTCTCTCGCTCTCGAAAAAATGTTTCAGCAAGTTTTTCGCTCTGCAAAATACCTTTGCTCTTGAAAGTTGTTCACATTATAATGTGATTAGAGGAGGTATGATGGAAACAACTATGTAGTTTCTTCAATATTTCATTCATTTTACAATTGATTTGAGTGTAATTCTATTGGTAATGCGATAATCCTAGAGCTTCTGGTTTTATCTTTCAATGTTTACAAGGAGGAGTGTGACTATAAATATTATAAGAATTCCACTGTCTTTTTCCTATACAATTTCTGGACTTCTGCATAAATATAGCAAGAACAGGAAGGCGATTTCTTGTCATAATCTTGTAACCATTTCACGAATATTCTCACAAAGTTCATCTTATTATATTCCTTGTCATCTTGGCTATTAGGTTCTCCTTCTTATCTCTTGTCAAATCTGTACTAACTGTGTGCTTTGCATGTGATACAATTTATACTTTTATTTATAAGACATTTCTTTCCATGATCCTCTCTCGTCTCTCTATATAATAATCTTTAAATAGATTCTCTTGTAATATTTTCTCTACCTTAATAAAGCTATGATCCCAATTTCAGCTGATAATGGTACCTTACTGATAAGCTACGTCTCCATTGCTCGAGTGTCTCGTGCTGAAAAACCTCAAAAGACATGCCATCTTCACTGCCACCCCTTCTTGAATCGCCCCCCAACGCCTTCTGCCGCGTCGCAAGAAGAGGCGAGCAATGGAGAAACTTAAACGACTGGTCCCTCAATCAGACATTTAAAAGAAAATGAAGATTTCAACATGTTTTAGATGTTTATGTTTTCCTTTTTGTATAACAATTATGCAATATGCAAATATTTTCTCACTTTTTGTTAAATATGAAAGAAAAATGTTTTTTTTTAGAAGTCTCTTCACATGAATATTTTATATATATATATATCATCATTTTAAAATACATTTTATTACAATATTATCCACTAGAGTACGATATTTTTTAAATGTTCACAAAATTCTTCTCCTCCCAATGATTAAATATGCGCTTCTGACTTATGGGAAAAGGGATTTTCATGTACTTTCCAGCAGTCAAAGATTCAATTCTTCTCTACAAGTGCTTTTTGTTCCCAATTGCGTGGTTTTCATGTGATAACAGGCGGACAAATTGTGGCAGAAGAACTTGCGCAAGTGCTCAAGTTCCCTCACTGATTCGCCCCTTAAGCTTATGATCAACAATAAACCCTCTATTTTTCACATTCACACTATATGGAAAAGCTCAAAAGTTGACCAGAGATATTATGTGTGTGTATTTGAAGCCTGTTCAAGTATAAACTTCACTTTGTTTGCTGTAATCCAGTTTTCGTGAGCTCATTTTTGCCACCGCCCGACAAAGCAAGGCAACGTGAGGATGAATTTGGGAGTTAATATTTGAAAAAGCTCCGTGGCATAATTGGAACAATAAGTGAGTGAAAAGTTTGTGCGAAACAATGGTTCAGCTTTTAAGCTCCAAGGCAAGGAAATAAACGAGTAATTGTTGAGAGAGAGAGAGAGAGAGGAAAGCTCTCAAAAAGCCTTATTGTGCTCCTCTGCATTAGTTTGCCCTGAGAAGTAAACTTTCCACTCCACGGAAAGCCTCAACGTGTCTTCTGGCCCCTCAAAAAGAGACAAGTCACATGTCACAGTGGCAAAACTTCTTACGAAAGTATTTATCTAATTCTCTCGGACGAATGTGGGCAGGAATTGGAGTGGGAAAAAGTTGCCCACATTCAATTCAGATTGGCAATTTCTGTGCTACATTTTGCATGAGCGTCGCCCATCAAGTGGGATCAGTTGCAATATTGGGCATTTGACAAAGGGATTTTCATTAGGCAACAGTTTATTGATTTACCTCAGAGCCAAGGGGCGAAAAAGGCGCTTTTTTCTTTGTGTAATGCATTTATGTTGTAAAAAATTAATTCTTTTGGAGTATTTTTCATTGATCCAATCAATTGTAAATCGAAAACGTGAAACTGGCGTGACAAATGGGCGTGGCATTCGAATGGGCGGAGCTTCAGAAGCTAGCACAATGACGTACAACTGGAGAAATCTTCACTTCATCCCACAATTATTCGCGATATTTGTCATGGAAACATTCACCCCTTGTTTGTCTCTTGCCCAGGGCTTCTGTTGAAATCTCTGGTCAACCCAAAAGTCCACATTCACCTGCACATGCCGCTGACAGTTACAGATATGAAGTGTGTGTCCTCGACGGCATTATTTGGCAAATGAAAATTTAATTGCATTTCCCAAAAATTAAGCGGCGGAATTTAATCATGAGCTGGAATATGCATCAAGTCATATTTGGCGTGATTTATTAACTCACGGAAGCTGTTAATTAAGTGAGTGAAGTTGATGAAATGAGTTTTAATTGTTGTTTGATTTCGCTTGAAGAATTTTTGCAAGCAAACTCACCGGTCAAAATGGGTACAATTGTGAAGGTGAAAGGTCAGAGAAATAATCGTGGAAGGTTGATAAAAAATGCAGAATTGAGATTAAGGAGCGGAAATTCACAAAGCCGTACAAAAGTGTACTTCTTCGGGAGGTGAAATCAATGAATCGTATTATGGGGAAAAAGCTAAAGCCTCGAGATCATGAGAAAATCATAAGTGATGCTGTCTTTATGGCATATAGCAGGGTTGTTATTAAATTTATGTACATTGTAACTTCTTTCATGTGAAAATATAATGTATGAAGGGAGAGTCAACAATATGGTAAATTCATAATGGATACAGGACGACAATATATAAATACAGATATAAGTTTTCCTTTTGAAGATAAATTCTCGTTAAAAGTTTCTCCTTCTCGCTTAATACAGAAACGGTTGATTTAAGTCATGTCATATATGTACAGGGAAATGAGATGTCTCTAATTTATACAACAGGGCGGATTCAGATGTAATGTATTCTCAAAATGGTGTCTAAATAAATTCCGATGCCACAAAACTTCACTATCAACACGCATTAAAAGGAGAATTGTGTCCTTCTTTTTATACACTTTCAGCATTATAGGTTCAACTGTAGCCTTTTTGCTAATAAGATATTCTTTCACGATTTGTGTGTGTGTCGTCAATCCCTTCAACTTCACATCTTGCCATGTATTTATGTATGTAGAACTATATGTATTATCCTGAAAATTCCTATGTACACTTTTTTCAATCCCTACTGTGCTATAAGACTTGATATTCCTCAATTTATCTTGCTTAAAAATATTTTTCTCTACACTTTCACAATATTTATCCTTCCGACGAAGATTTTTCATTACAATTTACAAATTCGGACGAGTGCTTGTGATGGGCTTCAGCAACAGATTATTTTATTAATTTTAAGGTGAATTTCATTAAGACTTTTCCCTTTCCACTAATTATCCTTCTAGGCTCACTTCTCCCAGGCTATTTGCATGGAAATGCTGAAGATGTTTGCTCTTTATGTGTCAATAAAATTACTCTCGTGCCTAATTCCATCGCGAAATTCCTCAGCTATGAGTTGAATTTGCGTGCTTTTGTACCCTCAACTTTGCGCCTGTCTTGTGTGTCTGTCTGTAATGTTGTTAAAAAGTGCAAAAGACTTTCCACAAATTTTCCTTCTGCACCACTATGAAGCCGTGAATCAATCGCCAATGATGGAAAATATGTATTTATATATAGTTATATCTTTCAGTTTGCATAATTGTGTTCTGAAACAACTGGATTGACACAGAATGTACTTTTCCGGGGGGAGTTTTTCACTGTTGTGCTAAAGTTTTGTGTGCATTTGTCTGTCATGGCAAGAAATATTCAGGACATCCTCTGCAAAACCTGCAATATTTTGATATTTAAAACTTCTCTATGTACCAACTATGTAAATTCATTTATGTTTATCGTTATTTAATCTACACGTTTATCCCCATTATTCACTTTTTCCTCCATTAAATTAAATATTTACTGTCTTTATACACGGTTTCTCTCTCTAAATATTACTTCATATTAATGCATATCATATTATTTTTTCATCAGTTTCTGTCACGTCATGTGTTTATTATTATGCAAAAAAGAGAGAACATGAGAGATGAAAAATCACTGCCAGAGTGAAATTGTGTGCCTTGTATTTCCTTTTCTCTACCTACAATATTTTTCTTTCACTATATCAATAATTTACAATGTTAATAGGAATTTTACGGTGCTCTCCTAAAACAGTATATAATTTAATGCGCTAAAAAATACATGTCTAAAAATTTGTTGTTATCCTTGATGTGCTGTATTGCAGTGTCATTAGACTTTTGGTGAGAGTCCCTTCATTATTAATCCTTGGCTGCGGCTGCAGGATTCTCCGCATCCTCGCCCTCTGCCTCCGCGGCGGCCGCCCTGGCTTCGGCGTCTTTTTGCGCCCGCCATCAAGAATTCATGAGTTAATTCCGCAGGAATGAAAGCGAAAAAGGAGAAAACTCACCTCTTATTGCCTGCTCCTTCCAGATCTTCTTGTTCTCCGCCAGGCACGTGATCCACGGCTTCTTGATGATGAAGCGCGACCGCTTGTCGTCGTAGCCCTTGGGCGGCTCCTCCTCGTGGATCGTGGGCTCCGTCACGGACATGCTCCTGCCCGACTCAGCGGCCTCGTCCTGGCCGCCGGCGGACGCCGTGTTCTTGCACTGCAGCGGCGGCGCGATGGGCGCCAGCACGATCTCCAGCATGTCCGCGCACACCGCCATGCTGGGCTCCACGATGAACTCGATGAAGCCGATCTGCGACTCGGCGACCAGCGTGGTCTTGCGGTCGCACAGCGGGCTGAAGTCCAGGCCCAGCTCGCGCTCCAGGTCACCCTGGCGGAAGAACTCCTCGAGCAGGAGCATCGTCCAGCGATGGTGGATGTTCCACTTCTTTGCCGGATGGGAGATATCACAACAGTGCAGCACCAGAGACAGTGCTTTCGACTTGTCCACCTGCGGATCGGCGAATTTTCACCCATTATCATCCGCCCAACGTGAAACACTGCCAGAGACACACTCACCTGAGGATCGCCGAGCGTGAGCAGGTTGCGCATGTTCTTGATCTGCTGGAAGTGGAAGGACATGTCCGTCGCTAGCACCATGTCGATGATGAGGGAGCGCAGCTCCCGGAACTCATCGCGCGTGAGATTCTGCAGGACATTGCACTCGTCCTCCTTGAGGACGCGAAAGGCAGCGCTGAGATGGTGGTTCTCCAGCACGGCCCTGTCATTGTACAGCATCGCCGTGTCGGAGCCAGACTTCACGTGGAAGTTGTTGGTGGTGCCCGTGTGCTCGTAGTCGTGGATGAGCGCGGCGAGCAGCGTGGCGAAGATCTCCAGGTCCGTGAGCCAATGCATGAGACCCGTCTGGCACAGCACGTGGTGGACAGTCTGCGCCACGTCCGCCGCGTGCAGATTGTTGTGGTAGGGATTGCGGAAGCGGCAGTAGCCCTCCTCAATGCGATTCAGGAAGACCTCGAGCAGCGCCGGCGGCACCTTGAACTTGTGAATCATCCCGTAGCGATTCAGCAGGTCGTAGCCCAGGTACTTCACCGGCTGCGAGTTGCCCGCCTCCGCCAGGGCGAACACGTCGAACGACCAATCATCGAGAGTCTGCACGGATTTACAGGCGTCAACAAGTGATTTGGGCAAAAAATATGTAATTGCAATGAAAAATGCTGTGCTAATAAATACACATAAATCAATATTGACAATAACTCATATTTGAAATCAATTAATTACAGCCCCGAAGTGTATTTTGCCATGCAGATCATTTTGCAATATTAATATTTAGTTCATTGCGCATTTATTGAACTTCAGTGCATATTTATCTCCTGCAATTATGATGAATGTTTGCCCAAAATAGGTAAATTCAATAATCATTTATTGGCTTTGCATTTTATTGGATGTTTGAAGGCATGTTTGTGAAAATTTCAAAGGCATTTCTAGTGATTTTTGTACAGAAAAATTCCTCAGTTCAAACTATTTTCTCCTGAGGAATGTTTCCACTGATAAAATACAGAATTTTCTCTCTTCACACAGTTCCTTGTTCTTTTCTCCTTAAGTTTGTTTATTCCTCAAAGCAATGACAAGTTGTGAAAAGCGTATCTTGAGTACGAAGTTTAAAGTTTTCCACTACTTTTGCTCACTTTCGTGAGTGCACGTGAAGAATGTCGGGGAATGTGATGAATTTTTCATGATGTTCATAATGAAATTGATACTCTCTTTGGCTTCTCATTACCTTGAGCACCTTAACAACTTCTGGTGGAAATTGCATGAGAGCCGAATTCGAGACGCGCCGGTAGATTCTGTCCACGAAAATGCCGGCACGAATTGCATGGGCGACAGAACGAAATTTTGGCTTCTCGTCCGCCTTCCGGCGAGTCGTTGCCAATTGTCGAGTAAATGTACTCTGAAGCCTGCGGGAGAGCAGAGATTAGGATTTGTGCGTGACAAGTCGTCAGTGGAGAGTGAAAGCTTACCAAGCTCGAACTTCTTGAGGCACAGCATCTGGTTGCACTTCAGACAATTCGTCATCCTCGTCCGCCAAGCGCCTGAATTCGGTGGGAGAGAGAAGACGAGATGAAGAGAAACATGTTAATTTTCTGTACAAAAAGGTATAAATGTTGAGCAACAAAAAAATTAGAAATTCAAAACCAAAGAAGAAGGCTAAAGAAAACTTGTGGACAAAGTCATTAATTAAATAAAACGGGAGCAAAAGAGGGATAAATTATGGGAAAGAAACAAAAAGAGAATAAAATACAATAATTTATTGGCATTTGATTAATTTTTCATACTGCGAGATAAATATTAAAATGAGAGTGAATAAAAGTGAACAGAAAAATTCATGTTGGGAAGGAGGCAAAACATAACTTCGCTGATAAACATGCACCTATATAAATGCCTTTTTCTCCTTCCAGTTCGCTGTTCCGCGTCTTATTTTGCTTTCACTATAGTCAATACTCACCCTGATTACCATCATTTATATATCACGTGGTATTTCTTTGATCTTTTCTCTCATCTAATTATTTACTCTAGCATACAATTTTGCGAATAAAAGCCACCTCCTCGACTTTTGGGCTCTATTTCTTCTCTCGTCAAAATTGAAGCAACAGGAAAGCAATTTCTCACTTTGTCTATTTGGGTGCTAGTCAGGTTCAACATTTTTAATTGGGCTCATTAGCTGTTCTAGAAATTCATCGGCTTCTCTCATTGGCGAAAGTGTGTGGGTGTGAAAAATTTTCGTGTTTCGTGAATTAAGGTGATGAGGCCGTATAATATTGAAAAGATGTCACACAAAATTGTGCTTCTTCTGCAGACAATCTTTCAGCGCTTTAGCCTAGCAAGCACAAGAGCAGTAAATTGAAAGCACACAGCATGCTATATGACTTTCTCCTAAGTAGCACATTTAATTTTGTCGTCTCTACAGACAATTCTCGTGAGCTTTTCAGAGTGTGCCTTAAATTATGGCGACAGCTTCTATACATTGGAAATTGCTACACTTGGGAAAATGCGCAGCGCAAATTCTATTTGTGAACAGAGCAAGAGGTGCAAATATTGTGTGCAATTTCGTATGTAATTCAGTCGTTAATTTGGGTAATTCAATTAGCTAGAAAATTCTGTATAGGAATTGTTTTTGGGCATGAAAGTATATAGTTAAAGCTTCAACTGCTCCCACTTTTCCACAGTGTAAACTATGCAGGAGGAGAATCAGTGAAATCTCCAATGAGCGCAACTAAGCAGAGGACATTAAAGTTCGTCCTCAAGCGTCGTTTGGAGCTTTTATTGAAATGGCTCACTGGAGAATACAGCTTACGAGTATTGTGTGTTGAGGCAACATTTTACTTTTAATTAAAGCAAAAGTGGGTGTTTTTCATGCCACAAAAAAGGGGGGAAAAATATTCACATGATTATCCCAATGAAATAGATGTTCTTTCTTTATCTGACGGTACTGAAAAATTATTGTTTTTTCTCCACCTCCATTAGGCTAATGACAATAAATGACGTACTTAAGATATTGATAGTACTGTGGGTCGTAATGCTCGTGTCAATTGCGTGTGGAAGGTGATTTCCACCGAATTGAAGGACGCAGGAAATTGTGGGGTATCGCGCGAGATGGGAAAAAAGTGAGTAAAGTGAATTGCATCATCGGAGCTTTGAGTGACATTCGTAATAATCTCTCTCATGGCTATATATTTGTGTGTCTTCTGTGTCGTTTTTCCACCGCTGTCTCTCTCGCTCCCTGATGATTTTTTCTTTCTCCCTTGGCTGACAGATTTTCCCCAAGACGGTATTAATGTGTCTGGCAAATTGGATTTTGTATCACCACGCTTTCATATCATTAGGAAACATCGCAGTAATTGTGATGAAATGTGAACTTAACGAATGAAGAGGATGATTAGAGGAAAATAATAATTTCATGATATTGTATTTCATCATAACTCAGACGAGAGGTTGCGAAGTAAATTCTCCTTTTGCGCCCGACACAATCACTTTTTTCGTACTCTTTGCAAGTGACCTCTGTGCCACATAATATGTTGGATGTACCTTATGAGGAAGAAGACCAATTCCAGGGCAATTTCTTGACGAACAGATCGCTCTAAATGTCTCATGCCGTGCCTCAATTTCATGGCACTTTTTTCCTGGAAAATTCCACCTAAAAGTTTTGCAATTACACTGTTTTTTTTATATGCTCAAATGGAGGAATTTTCCCCGAAGAACTTGTCTTCAACACCAAAACGATAACGTATCCTTTCAGTCTTCACTCTCTCTCTCTCTCCGTGTTGAATTGTTGAAGCACTCGCGTTGGAATGAAACTGATATTCCGTTGAGGTATTCCTTTTTCTTCAACCCCATCACGAACAACCCCACCCGACCCGATGATGATGTAATGTATTTTTAATTTCATTGAATAACCCGGCACGAGTTCACGCGATGCGCTGGGAATAAGACAGACTTTCAGTGGTGAGAAATTAAAGGTAAATATCACGGCGAAGGTGCTGCGGAGGAAAGTCTGAAGGATGTAATCCAACCCTGGCTGTCAATTATATAATTATTTATTCAATTATTTACACTAATGTAAATACTTTTCATGCGCTCTTCAGTGGGCGCATCTAAAGATATCGCGCGTCAATTGAGGAGAGATATTTTCAGCCTTTGATTCCGCACGTGTTTCGACCGATAACTTCTTTTAACCCTTCCAGAACAATGGTTCTCACACCTTCGCGTTTATAAGTCAATTGAGCTGGAATTCCGCCTGATATGTTTGTGTCCTATTGAAAGTTCTGTGCTTTATCTAGATCTGTGTGGTCTTCGTGATTTCTCTTAACAAAGAAATAAATGAGTCTGAAGACTTTCGGTCACGTTATTTCGGTTGTCATGAGACGCAATAAGGAAGAAGGCAAACTATTATGACCTCAATTTGGCTCCAAATCTATCATTTACAAACTAAATAAACGCCTAAAGGCTAATAAGTCATCTTTCTCCTGTTGTTACAAAGGATTCTGAGGTTTTTCCGGAACACAATTATCCATGATAACATGGAACTTCGTCATTGAGTTATAAACTAGTTACTGTGATGGCTTCCGATCAGCGCATCTTCAGGCATCATTCTACGATTGGAGGTTCTCGAGCCCTGGAGGAAATGAAAAGTTTTCCCCCCATCACAATTTCCCACATCGAAGCACACATTTAAACATTAAGGATTCATCTTGAGATATCCAATAATAGAATATCGATACTATTCCCTTGTATGCTCTGTAATCGCTTCTCTGCCTGCTCGTGCGAAAGTGTACATATAGACAGGATACAATACATTGTGGCGGATAGTGAATGTGTGACACAGTAATCGTGTTCATACAATGTCCTCGAGGTGGAAGTATGAAGAATCAATAGCTCTCCATTGAGTTTGCCTTTGACAGTGAGTCTGCCTTTGTAGCCACTTAAGAGACAGTGGAGCTTTTGAGGGATGGAATGGCGGCTGCAATACGCCAAAATATACCACTGGGAAAATTACATAACTTTATCTCACAAATCTCTTCATATTGGGAAAGAGAGAGAGAGAGAGAGAGAAATTTTGAGTGATAGTAATGTTTTAATCTAAAGCAAACACTCCGGTAGACGTGTTTGTTGTACGCAAAGACATCATTTGCGCTTTCAGCGCGGAAGAAAAGCCATCTCGGCGAGTGGAAAGTGGAATCCACCATCCATCTCCTCATATATGTCACAGCGTATTGACACTGGGGAACTCCGCTTTAGAGCCAAAAACTTTTCCCATCACCGACTTTGAGCTTTATGGCAGCAAATTGGGTAAAAATTGACGAAGTCGCTAAACAAATAATCTATCTTTGTGCGCGCTCGCGATATTTTGGAGGAAAAATTGAATTTTCATGTCGTTGCCACACAATTATCTTTCTGTGTGCTCAAGTCTGCCTCCTACTTGTTTAATTTTCACCTGAAATTCAAACATTGGCACCTCGCCAGAAAGGAAAGCTCACAAACCATACACTATAAGCCTCAACACTGGACGTGTAAAAATACCACAGCGAATCCTAAAACTACTTTTACTGCTGGAGCTTTCGAAATATATATGTAACGTGAAGCTCGCGCACTACGAAGAACACAGAATGTGAATTAGCCGGGCTTTGTAACCATCACAACATAAAATTTGCTAAGAAAAATATATATATTGGCGCATGTAAACCAGAGTGTGAAATGAAAACAGCAATCAGGAATATGGCACACACCTAGTGTCTAGACCTAATGTCGTCACAGAGCGTCGGTTTCGTTGTAACAATCTATAAGAGAGGGGTTTAAGGCAAAAGATCATTAGAACACATTGTCAATTCCACATTAGTATCACACTCAATTGCATCTGCGTGCGTTCCTAATAGAGATGTTTTTACAGTATATATACGGAATTCTGCCTCAACGGACGAATCCAGACTATCAACAAGTGAATTGTACGACAAATTGCAACTTATCTTCCTCTATCACGCATTACCATCTGCTTGTCTTGTTTGTCAACATTGCAAATGATACGATATCTACTGTGTCGTCTCGGTAAGATTGATGTCTTGCTTTGCCTTTCGCTTTTGCGGATTCGCGGAATCATTTTTCTCTTGGTGAATCACTGATGATTGACATTAATCAATTGCTCAAGACATTGTCATAAAAGCTCAAAGACACTGCGATCTGCCATCACGATAGTGTGCCATAAGACTCTCACATATTATCCATAAAGACATTGTCACAAATACACAGCTTGCAAAGAGGTTTTCCAGCATGAGTTTTTGTGGTGATTTTGCCCAAAGACAATGTGCTTACCCGGTTATGGCTTTGAAGAAATTGCAAAGTTTGTCGAAAGCTTTAGATTTCCTAGAATTATGGTCAATGCTAAGAAGTAAAACAGAAAATATTTCAGTGAAGGAAAAACATTCACATCTTACCAAAACGACATCAAAGTATAACTTTACATTTCACAAAAAAGAAAAGAAACACTTTTCCTTGTAATAAAGTGTGTCCGTGTCTAAATCAATGTTCAATCTACATCTCCATCTACAGACCTAAACGCAATTTTAATTCATGTTATGGCCAATTTAAATAATGGATTCATGATTGAAAAACCGTGTTCAGCGACTTCCACACGATTCCATATATGCAGGCTATTTTCCTTTTCATGAATAAATCATTGCATTTCGGCGGTTATAACTCAATATTGAATTTTTGATGCATATCGTGTGTGTTTTTGGCTGTGATGAGACTGAATGCGTGAAGTTGACAAAATTAATAAACTATCATGGCACATTTTGCACTCGTTGCTGGATCGAATGCACTAATTAATCTGTCCGCAATGAGTGCCTCGTGTGCTTGCAAATGGTGGAGAAATTTACGTAAAATTCAAGAGTCCGTGGTGTAATTCAAGCATGCAAAATTATCAATTTTCAAGGGTAGAAAAGGGTCAACAAATTTTCGGGTGAGATAAACTGTATTGGATGCAGGGACAAAATTAATTAACAAACACACATTTTCGAGTCGTTGCCTCAAGTGTTTACATTGTAGATCATCATCAGCAGCGCGGCGTAATACAATATTTACAAACAATCACTCAGAGTCAGTGTTATTAAATTATTATGGCGGGGTTTTTTTAAGAAGTGTTTATGGATGAGGTGTTGGCATATTTAATACGTCGTCGACAATTAGATATATGCCATTAACGCGTCAAATTTCAACGTTCATTCAAAGCGTAATCAATGTACAAACATATGTATGTAATTTAGCAACACTGACGGCTCCAAAACTCACGCGCACACCTAACTTAATGCGGAATTATTGGGTGTTAATAGAACACTTTTTTTTGGTACACACAGAAGAAACAAACAAAAAATATGTAAATGCAGTATTTGCATTTAGTCCAATGGACACAGAGGGAGAGGAATTTAAACAAAAACACATTGGCAAATATTTACATTTTTGAAAAATCAACAAACATCGAGAATACGCTGGCAGGAAAAGAAGCCAATTTTGTATTTATACTTCTGTTTGAGCTGTTGATTTGGCAAGGAAAAAAACAGGACTAACAAAAAGGGTTCGCGAGACAGATTTCCAAAGAATTTCATCCCCGAAATCAAGTGTTTTTCAGTGTTGTGTGTGCTTAAAGGTAGATGAAAGGGTGGCGATGGAGTGAAAAGTTTTGATTTTTCGCCTCGAGTGTAGTATTGAAATGAACTTTTATGATTTATTGAGAGATGATTAAAGCTTTTTTAGCTACGTGTTTTTTTTAGCGTCTGTTCTCTCTTTTGGGATGGGATTCTAAAGCGACTTTCATGGCCAAAAGTTGTTGACAAGTATCACAGAAAGCTCTACACAGGGTTGAAGGCTTTTTAAGGGTCTAAGATGGAACAAGAGAGAGAGAGAGAGAGAGAGACACAGATAATTATAGATTGTTGAAAGGATATTATTATATACTTGTTAATAAACAAAAAAGCTCACGGGTGAAGTGTTAAGAAAATGAGAAGAGGGGGGTTGAAAGGAATGAAAGATAATTAAAAATAGAGGTAAAAAAAAAACGGAACAAAATTAGATATTCTATTGTAAAAAACAGACAATCTCAGACACATTATTATCAGTTTGTGATTGGTTTTTTGACAGAGACCTGGCCCAGACTGGAGTACGAAGGCGACGTCGTTGGACCGTTGTCCCGCGCCCATGCAATTGTGGCGCGGTTTTCGCACCATCTCTGGGTGCTCCTGGCTCATTCCTCTCTCGACTTCGGTCAATACTGATAATGACGAATTTCAATTAGATACACATTTGCAGGGATTCCTTGACTAGGCTTAAATTTATGTTAATTCCATTTCGTCTGTCTGGAATAGCAACTTTTCGACACATCCACCCATCCAAAACCCACGTTAAACCTGGCGCAATCTTATCAATTCAATTTGTAAACTTCCATTGCAAAACAAACTTTTGCAAAGTTCCGGTAAACACAATCCTTTTCCCGAGCTAACAACCCCACACGGAATCGATAAGATGGAGAATGATTGAAGATTTCCTAAATATTGTGCAATTTTCAATTGAAATTCTCGCTGAAAAGTCACTCCTCATTAAATGAGAAACACACTCTGTGGCTTCTGTTGTCCATTCTGCGCACAATGGCCACAGTGCACACCTTGTTAGGGGCAATTGCAGTGTCAATCGGCGTCTAAAGTGTTTGCCGAAGGATATGAAGAGGATAGAAGTGGCTCCAGAGAGCTGTGAAATCGGATAATAAAGTCTATAATTGACTTCCGGCGTGCTGGAAGGCGCTTTCTGATGTTCCGCTGTGTGATGATGAAGCGAAATGCGGCGTGGATGGAGAAATTAGATTATTTTCGCCCATGTCAGGGTGGAAAAGCGGCATTTTGGAGGCATTTGCTCGCAACGTTGACGTGTCATCGGAATTATGGAGGACGCAGGCGAAGAGTGTCAAAAGAAACCAATTTATGGTTGAAAGATACTTTTTTTTATTGAATTCTTCTACTACGTCGTGAATTTATGGAGCCCAGAGGCTGCAAATTTGGCATTGGATCACCGAAGAAAGACGCGCAGTTTTGTGTTATTGGACGATGGGTGAGAAAAAGGAGCGAATTTCAAATCGATACTCGACCCATTTAGTGCCTTCTTGTGCAGAGAATATCGGACACCGCATTATCGCGAGAACACTCTCTCTCTCTGGTGTGGCACATTCTTATGGGCGAGAAAAATAAATGATGGAGAAGAAAATGGGGAAAAGTGCCCCAAGATGGTCGTGTGGGTGGAATTCTTCTCCGCGGCGATGTTTTCCTTTTTTTTCTCTCTACGACAGGATTTATTTAAAAAAGAATATTTCTCCCAATTTGTTTTTATTGTCACGCACAATTGATGGGGTTTGGGTTGAATTTCCACCAGTGAATTCCACACACGCCATCGTGTTCAGTCAATGGAAACGCAACCCAACTCAGAGATAATTCACATCGACAGGATATCAAATAAATAAAATATTTTCTTCCAGTGCTTTTGCTCTCTTGAAAAAAAGTGGCCGGAGATCCTCTTTGGCAAAAGTCTCAGACATCATTTTCACGGCTCTTCGGATTCGAGGAAAATCAATTGTGCCCAGAGACAGAGAGAGAGCATTCTTCCATGCGATTTAGTGAGAAAATTGTCACCTACTCGACGACCCACCCTCGCAATCTGTCCCGCAGAAAAAGCACCCCTAATGCACAAGAAAGGCACTGGATATGAGTTTTTACGAGGATATGTGTCACATGACAAAAAATACATGTTACTTTATTTCTGTAATGTGGTCACGATGGCATGTTTCTCATGTTAAATGGCCGGAAATGATGATTTTGGTGGGTGCCAAAACGGCTCAATCCCATTCGAAGATTGCCAAGGAGCAGAAGCGGTGCAAACAAGGCACAATCTTCTCCATTTTCAGCTCTCCCGAGGGGAGGATAACTCAAGATTGAAATCGTGAAATATACTATGAATATTTTGCATAAAATGTTCATGAAAATATGACCAACAAACCTTATACTTTCGACTTAATAATCCATCAATATACAGAAATATATTACATAATATACAATGCATGTTAGAAAAAATGTGTGACAAATAAATTGATTCAACATATAATTATATTCAATCTGTTCTGTCGTCTTTTCCCATTTCTTCATCTCTCTGGGCTGTTACAAAACTCTGTTTTCTTTGTTAATGAACTATCTTATATGAGTTGTTGTTACATAATGCGAACAACATTTCGCCCAGTTCTCCACCCCTTGGGATCTTTCTCGACTTTTTCCACTTGCGATGTGATTTTGTGAGATAGAAAAACACAATTTTGTATTGTGCGAAACCCACACCACGCGTCGTTTGAACGTTCCCGCACAATTTTTGATTATTTTCTGATGATGACAGAAAACATATGCGGCGGAATTTATCGTATCGCTTCATCTCTTTCAAGCCCAACTCTTCTCGAGAAAGAGTCTTGGAAAGAGTGCTCGGCGATAGCAGAGGAGGAGAAAAAAAGGGAGCGAATATCCTTCGCACTCCTTGTGAAATGATGCTGATCACAGCGAGAGTTTGTCACACAATAACCCCATATTTAGCCCATTATAGTCCGCCAGTGCCGCATCTTTTGTGATAAAAACAACTCCCTCGGGCAGCAGATAAGACAGAAAAGTTGACAAAAAAATTTTAATTACACAAAATCACCAAGAATTGAAAGTATTGCCGCCATTTGAGCTTCCTTCGGGGAACATATATAAATGAACATTCCTCAATATATAGCCATATGATTATTCTTCTCACACTTCCAATGTGACACTCAACAAATGATCATCGACGTGAAATGCTCACGAGCAAGTGTTGGTCTTGTTAATTTAAATTGGAAAAAATATATAAGATTATCTCTGTTGTTGCGCCATGTTGCTATGTAGGAAAAAAAAGAGAAACAGACGATGGAGTAATTGGAGTGACACTTACTTGGTTTCATCGATGAAAACAGCCTCAAGAACTCGTGCAGCATAATGAAGATTTTTCTGCAAAATCTCTGCAGATATTTCACCTCGTTGCAGCTGCCTCAAGAGAGATCGCAATCTGTGAGAAAGGGAAAAGTGCGTGTTAAGATTGGGCTCAACGTTAGTATTTGGGGCGAAAAAGAGATTGCAAAGCTCTCAATATCTGTGACTTCTTGCAGCGCAACGATGAGTGTAAAGTCTGGTGAATTAATTACATAATCGATTTCTCATCCCACTGACACATCCAGTGCCAATCACAAGTGAATTGCAGATAAATTGAGCGCGATAAGAGTGCAAATTGGAGCTGCGATCTCACCTCATGGCAGCCTTGTCGCATGCATCCGGAGTATCGACGGCGGGTAGATTGTCTGTGGCCAGGTCAACATTGTCCAATTCGTCGCCGGATGATGTCAACGTTACCGATTGCATTCTCTCCACGACGTCGCACTCGTTGGTAATATCGTCACCCACTTCACTGCACTCCAAACTGTCTTGGGGATTCTCGCGCAGATTTATCGTCTGATTGCCACCGCTTTTGCTCTTGCTGCTCGATCGTCGGACAATCGTCAGGGCAGCATCTTCTGGAAAATACAGCGCCATTTCAGTTAAATTGCGCCTTGCCAATTGCCATTTCTTCGCCACGCTCTCGTGGTGGCGAAACTGAATGGCAATCACGGCTATTTCGCATGAGATGCTCTCAAAGCATGTTACATGGAGTGCATTTGGGTTTTGTGCGATTTAATTAAAGTGCCCGTCGCCATATATTACAAGATTTACAGCATGAAGTGGTAAATCTCGAGAATGTTCAACTGATTGGATCAATTGAATTAGACAAATTGATGGAATCTTATGAGAAACTTACTCATTTGTAACACGCATTGTTGCTTCTAATATCCCTTAATTGGGCCAACAATGTCTTTAATCTTCTAAAATAGTATCAACCCGACAAGAATAAATCCGCCTGTTGTCTATATTTTACACCATACTTCAGCAAAGCTTGCCATTCAAAGGAGCTCCAAAGGTAAGACGAGTGAATTTCTCGGAGAAAGTGAAGAGGAATCTTAAAGTCTCCACTACAAACTTTAAACGAACCCTTCAATCGACTAACTTTGCTAATTTCTGCAGGCCACAATCAGCCAATACTCATGTGAAGACGATTGGAAGTTTCCGGCGGCATTGGAGCGAAATAGTCTACACAGGAGCGAATAACTTTGATGTTGCTAATTTAAGACATCTCCGGCTGCTTTAAATACACATTTATTTAGAGAGTTTAGACACTCAAGCGACCTTCTTAGCGGATCAAATGCTTCCGTCGCCAGCATTGTGAGCTTGAGGACTTTCTCGAGGACGGTCTTTGCAGTTGGAAATCCCAGAAACTTGTGGAGCTGCGAGGATTGCTACCTATACACTTTGTGTCTCGGAGGCGTTATCGGGAGGAACAAGAGAATTACAAGTAAGTGGAAATTCTGAGAACCTCCACACAATTCCCTTGCAATACGGGTAAAGTTCCTTTTGATGCCCAGGATAAAGGTAAATTGGTATTGTGCTAATCAACTGAGATTCTCTGTGCCAGATGCTTGTTCCCTGGGCATTGTGTGTCTGGTTAAAGGGTTGCCGTGAGAGGTAAAATTAATCCGGGGCTGTTTATGCTATTTATTTTATGAATTTTTAATATTCCAAATTGCCGACAAGGGATGAGGTTGACGCTACGAATGTGTGTGACATACAAAGGGTACATTATGCCTTATCGTGTCCCTCTTATGTGTGCTTAACTTTTCATTTCAATTTCCATGGCTGGAGGAAAATACCCTCCTCTCGGCATTTTCGAATAACTGAGGGATTCTTTCCACGACGCTTCGTCCCATTTTAAATTGCCAACATTGTGACACTTTTTCTCACAATTTCCACAACAGTTTCGAGCCGACTAACCTGCACAACGAATACGGTGCGATTGTGTGATAAAAGCGGAGGCAATTCTGTGAATAAATTAGGAGAAAGGCAGACGTCTTCCTGTGTTAACTGCAGTTAACCTACTCAAAACCTCGCAGTGTGAAACCGTTTTTGAAATCTGCCGTTTAAGTACAATTATCGTTAAATTTTATGTGTAGCCTTGTGATGTCAGAGATGTGTCTTAATCGATATGTTTATACTGCTTCGAGCCATAATGCTCCATTTGTTCCATGTCGCTCTCAAAATCTGCAAATCCTCGAGACCTGTTCAACCACGGAGTATATAGATTTGTGAGATAATCTATATTGATTTGCCTCTCTTTTTTCCAGGCGGAGTTTCGCCCACAAAGCAACATAATACTCTCTTCACCTCCACCTCCTCAAACTTCAAGACAATATCCTGAGAATTTGGGTAGCATAGCTCCTCCAGGGTTCAATGATTTGAGAGATAATCAAATGCTTTAAGGAGAAGCATTGGGGTATTCAACGAGTTTGAATTTCGAAACCACAATTTTCCAATTTTCCCAAGCACCCCAACAATGTCAATTTTCCTGGGAAATTCCTCGCTGGGTTATCAAAAATACACACACACACGCGCCGGAAAATCCTCCGAATTTTATAAATCAATATCATGCAGAATTTATCATCTATGGCGAACCACCCTCTGTCACTCATGAGAATGAAGGAAATCTATACGTCGTGCGGCATGAATTATGTTGTGGAACTTAAGCCATGGATAATTAATTAATTAAATTTTCCATATTTAGCCCACAGAGGAACTTAATTAAGCCCTAATCAAGCACGTAACGGCCGAAATATTGCCCTGCCGGGGCGGATCAACGTGTCAGAGATGATAAGGAAGTGGAGGCCTCAGCATCTCAGTGTGGTGAAAATAATCACAGAATTCACTTACTCGCTAATTGTCCATTCTCCGGACTTGTGCTTTGCATATGAGTCACTCCTGTCACCCCAGCTTGGGCGGAAGCCCGCGTCTCGCTAAAACCGGATGACTTTTCCCTAACTACCGAATCGTCTTTGCACGCTGCTCGTCCCTCTGGTGAACTGGCAACTGGAATAGACAGTGGAGAAGTGATAAATTAGCACTCATTCAGCAGCATAATTGGGTAGACTTTATTGAATTTATAGTGCCGCCAGAGCTAAAAGCTCCTTCCTAGTAGCTTCTCCCAATCGTCTTTGAGACACAAAGTCCCCAAGTGCACCTGTTTGCAGAAGCAATTACTCTGCTGACCAAACCACATCTTCACTCTCATTTACCACCCCTCAGTTTGTTGTTAATAGAAGCACTGTGAGAGTAAAACTTCAGCAAATATTGCTGGAGTTGAATTCACTTTGTGCATTTAGTGAAGCCTCGAGTGCAATTTTGAGAAAGTGAGAAACTGAGAAAAGGATGTGGAAAAGGCAAAAAGAATAATGACGGGAAAAATCTCTTGAGAAAGTGTTCAACCCAGGAAGAGAGCAGCCCTTAAGCGCTATACATTTATTTGCTCATCAAAAGTTGGTTTGGCTCTTGTTAATGTCGGTGAATCGTTATTGCCTCATTTATGGTCATAAAGACATGCAACTTTGTGCTTTATTCTCAATGTTAAGAGATTTTACTACCATCTGCCGTTATATGCAGTGTCGAGCACGGCGGCATAATGAACCTCATGAGGCTATGTAGGTTTTACTACAATGTGCTTTTTTTGCCTGGCTTCCACCCCCTCGGAACATGAGATATTGCAGATTTTCTGCGGCTCTGTGAAACCGCGCTCTCAGAGAGATTGTCTGCCCAGATTTGTGGCGGTTCTCAGCATGGGATTAAGTGATTGCAGGCACGAGACCAGCGAGCATAAAATCTGCAGCATGACAATGGCGCAGTGCAAGATTTCGCCCGATTGCAATTTGGCATACAGTGGATAGTGTAATGAAGACAAAACATTTCGAACAATGGGTGTTCACTGGGAATTACCACGAGGATGAGGTGCGTGTTAAATTTGGTGAAATATATTTGCCAAAATCCTCAGTAATTTGCCATATGCTAGACATTTGCAAATGAATGAACGTTGTATGTAAATTTCATCGCTCTCTATATTGCTCCTGCATTCATTTAGTTTAATTAAACTTGTCTCGTCTTGTGACTTTTCCATGGGAACCACTATAAATTAAGTCCACATCATAGAGTCATCGTCGCAGACACTATTCTGCAAATTGTCTCATTAATCTCTGTTTATTCAAATTTTGCGTAGTATATTCACCATAAGATGGCTTGAGAGAGAGAGAGTATTTACTCGGTGAGGCGTGAAAATACTTAAAGTCTTTCCACAGATCATAGTGTTTAATCCAATAAGATGTTAATTCAATAAGATCACCTTTAAGCCCAACTCCCCAAAGCTTGTTTACAAAATCAAGACAAATTACTTCTCGTCTTCTTTATCTCTCATCTCGTAATTTATGTGACCTGAGGCGCTTACATAACATTTGGTGTATTGAAAAAGAAATCCGTCACTGATTTTTTCTCCCTATACATTTCTTCTCGCTGTATTCGGGCAAATATACATAGAAGAGAAAGCTTCTGGCGAGATTCAAAGCGTCAAATCCTCTTTTGTGCTGATACAAGAACTCCCACTGGGCATGGAATCCTCAATCACAGATGAGCAGTTGTTGGGAGTCCTTTTCGACGGGTATTTTACTACGGAGAAGCAGCTCTATTCCACGAAATGAGGCCAATATGAAGTATAAAGCTTCGGGCGATGTTGCGAAGAAACACTGCTAGTTTTCGTCTAGCTAATTTATTGTATAATCAAGAGATTAAATGCTGTAGAATCACTTGGTTCTCGCTATTATTCCTCCTCAGACAATTCTGATTGTGATTAAGTCGCTCGTTGATGATCAAGGGGGAGATAATATGGTCAGAAGTGGTGTAAAGTTCATTGGAGATGCTCAGAAACTTACAATATTCTTTTCTAAGCGCTGAATCAGTTATCTTGAGTACATTTTAAAGTGATAAAAGATGATTTTGTGATTAAGAATGCTTTCAAACGGAATCTTTGAAGATCTCTTGGTGGTATTTTGAGGTTATGGTCGGAAAAGATATTCAAAAACGCAGATTTTAACACATTTAAGGCACATTATCTTCCCCTTGCTGATGATGGTCTCCATTTTATGGCATTGACGAGATTTACTGTTTATGCAGCACTTCTTTTCCATGAATAATTTCTCCGCTTGAGGGAAATTCTCAACAACATATCGTCCATTTTTCAGTGTAGATGCTCCGCAATGGGTGCTCGTTTGATGTACGAGATGCAAAGTGTGTGTATAAATTTAGTCAGACATTCAGTTGAGAGATGAAATATATGAAGCACTCGTGGTTGTACAATTCCTTCCTTGGCATATCAGTGAACTTTTAACCCACTTCATCTATTCAGTACACAATTTTTCCGTCTTTCTCTCCACTCTTGCATAGTCTCGGTGAGAGCAAGAGCGTGGGGGTGAGGGGGTTTTATGTATAATGGGACAACAGGGGTTAAATGTAATGCCGCCGAAGGAACAAGTGAGATACACACAATTTCTCTCCGGTTTGCCAGATAATCGCCAAAGTGGAGGGATGAAGCCCTTGAAATCATTTTATGGATCATCAAATGATACACCCTGAAGATGGGAAGACAAGAGGGATTTGGCGATGAGAAAAAGAGTCCATGCGGACGCACAGAGACAACATATTTCCTCCCGCATATATGAAGCGTGCCCCATCTTTTGGTTATGCGAAAATGAGAAAATTATTATTAACACGGCCTATCTCGTCTCATAGCTAAAAGCTTTTTTATTTCACATCAACATTTTTTTGTGCCTCTCCTCAGCACATTATTAAATACTCAAGTATGCTGCAACACACGTCCATTTGGCGTTTTTATGCTGCCAGTCGGATATTTTGTCAAAATTTCATCCCATCGACTCATCGAATTGAGAATTTTACTACATCGTTTCGATGGTGAGAAAGTGAGTGACATTTTTCTCTCGCGCAAAGAGAGACTCTACAAGGAGTTGATCCTTTTTATGCTCTAGTACAGCAAACAATTCTGTGTCCTCTGTGTCCTCAATCCTGAGATTTATTTGGTCTGCAAACTGCCAAAAAGTTTCATTATAATTTCCACATTCACGTCCCTGCAATGGCTTCATAAAATCCCCTTCGCTCGAGCACTCAATATTACACATAGCAAAAAGCTCCTCCTTTTCAAGCCAAAGTCCACGGAGTGAAGTGTGCAATTTTCTTTGTTTCCCTCACATGAAGTCACTGGAGGAGCGTATAAAACTGGGGGAGTATAAAACCCCAGCTTTTTACACTGCCAAAGCACGTGAAAAATATGGAGAAAAAGAACAATGTTGGACAATTGCCCTGAAAATTTCATCAGGCACAATCAGGGAAAATTTTTCATAATTCATTTTGCAATACTGTTTTTTGTGTACACAGGAAATATTACATTGAATGGTGCCCAGTTTCTCGAGAAAAACCAGCACACAATCTCGTGCCTTTCCTTTTCATTGAGAAAAATGGTGCAATTTGTTAGAAGGGGAGAGAGACACATATTTTCTTATCACTCGGAGCTTTCTCAATAAGTTTTCACGAAGGGAGAGAGAGAGAGAGAGAAAAAAAACTTCAACAATACCCTGTTTTGGACTAGTTTCTCACGATATTCTGCCAAGAAATTCTCAATTCTCTACATTATAATGCATTGAGAATCAAACTTGACAGAAGATAAACTTTCGTTAGTCAGTTTTTCAAGGCTATTCTTTCAAGAAACCAAAAGTTTGATTTTGCCATAAAGTTTTTCCTCATCCATCTGCTGATGGTGGTTTGAAATGAGCGATGAAATGGTGTATTTCCCCAAATGATGACATCCATCCAGCGAGAAACGATGAATTTACATAATGAAATACTCCTCAACCTGCGTGAGGAATTCCAAACACGTTCGTCCTTGTGCAACAAACCAGAAAGCTCACCCACCATCCCTAGTGCTGTAGTTGGAATTCTGAAGCTCCACCATTCCACCGAGCTTTTGTCTTAGGCACTAAGGCACTTTGCATAGTGTTGGCGCCTGGAAGATGGGTGGCGAAATAAATAATATTTTGGTGCGAAGCACGTGGCGAGAGTTTGGAGTCAAATCAATTTCACTTAAAATGGCACATGAAGAAAAATATGGCATCAATATGGCAGACGATGTTTATGCCGAAAAGGTAGACTTTTATTCTGTTATCGTGACGATAAAAATATATTCTAAACACGTACCTGAGACTTGCTCACAATAAGCTCGAATGTGCGACAAAATTAAGGGGATTTCCTAGGTGAACAGAAAGAGAGAGAGAAAAAACCTACAACACAGTCTAGTGAAGAGGGTAATTCATTTGGAAACATTCCCAACAATTCGCTCTCTCCTCACCATGTGAGAGATTTCACCAAATCATGATTGATGTGCTTCCAGGTGAAGCGGCTAGAGGAGATTTATCTCATGAGACGCTTTGAATAATTCTCAGAATTTTTCTCACGAGCAGAGCGTGGCTGAGACGAGATGCTCGCGCGCGAAGAAATTATTACATATTTACAAAAAAAAACCCTAAAGGAAGGTTGAGACATGTGACGTCAGTCACCCTTGGCTAATCTCTCTCCTTCATCCGGAAAATATGAAAACTCCTAATAGAAGAACAACATTACCCGCAGTCTCAAGAAGTATAAGTTGAGCTGACAGTTTGTTGAAAATTTTATGAAGGCGGAAGGAAGTGTTGGAGAGGAGGAGATTGATGAAATCCTGTCTCCGGCTAAAGATATAATAATTATCCTGTTCACGTTTTCCCATCTCTTCTGCATTGTCCACGCGCGCACGCCTTCCAGCAATAATCGCAATTTGACGGTGACACGATGACGATAAATTGGCTCACTTCCAGCCAATTCGCCAACAATCCCCGATCATTTGCACTCTCACTGGGGAATTTAAGCGTCAACGCATCAAATGGGGATTTTTTTCTTCTTCATCCTCCCTTAAATCGCGCACAGTGAATTTATTCAGCAACATAATCATCCACGGCAATTGATTCACAGCTTGACTCCACTCTGCGGTCGCCGAGACGCGTTGTGGTGTGAGATTGGAAAATGGAAACATCAATTTTGCTCCCCAGAATATCTTTCCATTTTTCATTTTTCACCCTCTCCTCCTTTCCACCCCCGCAGCGACTGGGAAAAATATAATGCTGTGCAGAGGACGCCTTTAGATGGCACAGGAAAATTCACAATAAGGTGAAAGAGTAGCGACAAAAAATGAAAGTAATTTGATAATAAAATTGCTCGGTGGAGATTCTTCGCTGCCTCAACATGTCAATCTAAATTCTCAATGGAGGAAGTGTAGAGCTCTTTCATGCTTACAATGCATAATATTTATATGTTTGCTGTGCACGACGAAAGCTCTATTTGCACGCCCATCACAAGATTTCTCGTGAACTTTCCGCTGAGCAGATTGACTGTCGCATATTTTGCCGTCTTGCGAGCTCTTCTGAGAGTGAATTATTGAGAGTGAAGCACTATTTGAATAATTCAATTGCACGGACTCGCACTCTTTCACACTTCATCCGCCATCCATTTTTCCATTGTCAATATATAGTCAAATTCACCTCCCAGAATGCACAGTAGCGAAAATTAGTTTAGGACACCTAAGAAATCTTGAGTCAATTTTCCTCTTGGTGCTTAAATAAACATTTTTCTGCCATGCATTGATAATAAATTACTGATTTTCTGGATATTTAAATAAGAGATTGACTAAAAGTCAATTTAACAAGTTAACAAGTCGAAATCAAGACACTGAAGAATGAAAATGTCTCCTAGACAAACTCATGATTTAATTGTGGTTATCCCAGTCAAAATTATGTTTATAAATAAATTCAAATTGAGATATCGTCATGATTTCACCACCATTTGAAAGACCATGAAATTCTGATAATTTTTTGTCTTAGCGTAAATGCCTCGAAAATTGAAAGAAATACTGAAAATTGACTCAAAACTTCTTAGGTGTCCTAAGCTAATTTTCGCTACTGTTTCTAGCGCGTATCGCATTTGTCCCGCGAGGCGCAAGAGGACAGAGGAAATCGGCGAAAGTTCGAGTGACGCAAGGCGTGGAGGAATTCCCAGGACACTCAATTTATATGTCAGTGGCGAGGGTATATTGGGAGACAATGTCGGTCCTCCCATTAGCCATTTTACCTGGGCGAAATTGAAAAATCATTTGGTGAATATTGAAATATTAAAATGCCAGCAGAACTCGAGCATGACATGCCGTGAATCCCATCCCGGGAGCCCTGCATGACATGGTTGGTGATTAAATTTTAAGTACTTGGGAAATTCTTTGTGTTTTGTCGTCATCCTCCGCCTTTGGCATTTTATTAAATTTCCCACCGTTGTGCGCGCCATCGCGAAGGAAGTATCGATGGTGAGAGTTGCTCTTCCGTCATGTTCACCTTTCCTTTTCTCCCTTTCCCGTGGAGTTAAATATTCTATCGGTGGAAAATATTTAATTTTGCGAATTTCTTCAAGCGCACAAGATCCCGTCGAAGCCCTCGGAAAGGCAACTCCATGGAAATCTACCTTGGGGATCAAGGGACTTTTAGGGCTTTTTTTTCACCCCCACCCACTTTCGCTCCTATGAACATGCGAATCCTTTATTCCCAGAAAGCGAATATTTCTCTCTATACGCATACATAATTCCAAATACGAGGCGGGTTTCCGGTGGCAACAAAATATCTCTTCATAGAGAAACCTCGCATAAAAACCCACATTCTCCCCTGACCCGGCACTCTATCTATCAGCCATTGAGGGCTCTGCGAATCCCCAAATGTCCACGAAGGTGTGAAGAATATTTGGGGGCGGTTTGTATCTGAGTTTTGGGAATTTTACAATCATAATGTAGTTGGAATTCACTTCACGTTGAGCCAATTTTTGGATAAATGATAAGCATTGTGGATATAATATTTCACAAGTTAAAAAGGTACATAATAAAGGTGAAAGAGTACCTAATAATACCTGTTTTCATACGTGTGTGTAGGTTGAATTCAGATCATGTGAAATCACATGTAAATAAACATTGTTACTGCTTTGTTTTCTCGTTGCTTGCAAAATAGAAATTGTCTTCTAGCTTTTCTGTATATATTTGCTTAAATTGTTTGTTATTGATATGTTTATGTGATATGTGAAAATTACAAAATACTCTCGCGCTAATAATTATAAATCTTCCACCCAGATTTGTTGGTGAAAAAGTTCCGGTTCTTTCCAATAGCTTATTTATAAATGAGTGTAATTCTCTTATCTCAGCCAGTAAATAACGCGAAGCTGTGCGGCGTAAACAAATTGCCAACGCCGACCACAAACAGAAATAGCCCAGACGAAGTGCCGTGCAGTCGTGAAGATGTGATGGTGTAATCTCGAGCACATCTCGCGGTGGCTTCACGAAAGGCAGAGTGATTAAAGTGTAATTAGCATTGTCGTGTCACTCGAGAAGTTCAAAATTAATTATTTACCATCGAGTTAATTGAATTAATCATTTATCTGCCGCCGTGGCTGGAATAAAAGGCAAACTTCGACACAGTGATTCTGTGACTGAGCGTGTGTCAAGATGGGACGGAGTTTAGTGCTGATGCTCTGCTGTGTGGCGCTGACTTGTGCCGCTGATCTCAATGGTTGGACGCTGTACCAAATCTATCCGCGCTCCTTCATGGACAGCGACGGCGACGGTGTTGGCGACTTGAGAGGAATCACGAGCAAATTATCGTATCTCCGCGACACTGGCATCAACGCCACCTGGCTCAGTCCCATCTTCCAGTCGCCCATGGTGGACTTCGGCTATGACATCTCCGACTTCATGGCCATTCAGCCCGAGTACGGCACCATGGAGGACTTCGAGGAGCTGTTGCGCGAGGCCAAGAGCCTCGGCATCAAAGTCCTGCTGGACTTTGTGCCAAATCACACCAGTGACAATCACGAGTGGTTTATAAATTCCGTGAACCGCGTTGTGGGCTTTGAGGATTACTATGTGTGGCACGATGGAATTGTGGATGGCGATGGTGAGCCGCAGCCGCCAAATAATTGGGTTTCTGTGTTCTATGGCTCGGCGTGGACGTGGAATGAGTTCCGACGTCAGTTCTATCTGCATCAGTTCACGCGAGAGCAGCCCGACTTGAATTTCCGCAATCCACAAGTTGTGGCCGAGATGGACCGCATTCTGGAGTTCTGGCTGCAAAAGGGCGTCGATGGTTTCCGCATTGACGCCGTCAACCACCTCTTTGAAGTGGAGGACTTCAGAGACGAGCCACCCACTGGTGTGGAGTCCGATTCCAAATCATACGCATTCACTCATCACCACCACACAAAAGACTTGGTAAACATTGTGTAGCCGAAGGGGCTTTTAAGCGCCTCATTAGCCAAGAAGTAAGTGTCTTTCACAGTGAATCTTGAGTGGTAAATTGGCTAATTTCATCCGCGATCGACACGAATTAAAATGAGAATAATTACCTGAACAAAAACATCCAGATTTCTTCAAATTTTGACTCAGTGAATGGCTTTTTATACTGAAAATCATTGCTAAAATCCCATTAAAATAGCTTTCAAGCAGTAAAAATTAATTTGAGTTTATTATAAACTCATTAAATTCTCAATTTAATACTCAAACATTCCATTAATTTCAATTTAATCATACAGAAAACCCTTTGAATTGCTCTCCTTTTCCATAGCAATTTCCTTCAGCACAGAAAGCACAATTCCTAATGAGCTAAGAGTTAGAATTCACAGAGTTAAAACTGATGGAATATTGATGAAAAATCAACACTCAAGTGAATCGTGATCGTCACGCAGTTATTTACTCATTTATTATTAGCTTGTAGAATTTATAAGCAGAAAATTGATAAAATGCCTTGTAAATTCTCTGAGATTAGACCAATTACTTGATTTAACGTCTCAATTCGATTAAAGCAATCTCATTTTTCTCAGTGAGTCAATTGTGAACTGAAGCCAGTGTAGTTTATGGATGCTTTTAATTTATCCTAATCGCGTTCAAGCCCGAGAGCTATGAGCTCATTTATCACTGGCGTGAGCTGCTGGATGACTTCAAAGTGAAGAATGGCGGCGATGACAGACTCATACTGACCGAGGCTTATGCCAATATATCATTCACAATGAAGTGGTACGGATCGAGCGATGGGAGACAGCGTGGAGCGCACATTCCATTCAACTTCCTCCTAATAACCGATCTGAACGGCAACTCGACGGCCAGAGATTTCGTCTACGCCATATCCAAGTGGATGATTTACAAGCCTCTCGGTGCGACGCCCAATTGGGTGGTAAGTTGACACTTTTATTGAAGACACCTGACACTTTTCCGCACAGCCAATCATCCTGGATTTTTCCTCCCACGCGAACCGAAGCTGGGGAATCACGATCAGCCGAGAGTCGCCAGTAGATTTGGGCGGGAGCGTGTGGATGCCATGAACACCTTGCTGCTCACCCTCCCGGGCGTCAGTGTGACGTACAATGGCGAGGAGATTGGCATGGAGGACCACAGGGGGATTTCCTGGGAGGACTCTCGAGATCCAGCTGCTTGCAACGTCAACTCTTCGCTCTACATGGCGTTCACACGTGACCCCGAGAGGACGCCCTTCCAGTGGAGCGACGCGCAGAGTGGTGGCTTCTCCTCCAGCGCCAGCACGTGGCTGCCCGTCCACCTCAACTATCCCACGGTGAATTTGGAGCGCCAGCGACGGAGCGAGAGAAGTCACTACGCTGTCTTCAGGGCTCTCACGGATTTGCGACGCCACCCCGCGATGATTTACGGTGACTTCACTCCGGTGGCAGTGAACGACAATGTCCTGGTGTACACGCGAGCGCTAAATGACCATCAGTTATTTGTTGTCGCCATAAATTTATCGGATCAGGAAGAGACGGTAAATCTTGCGAGCATTTTCCAGCGGCTGCCTGAGAAATTGCGCATTGTTGTGGCCGCCTCGCACTCCCACTATCGATCCGGGTGAGTGGAATTATATGCACTTCCAGGGGTGAGAGAGGGAGGGAGAGAAAGGGCTGAAGGACGTGAATTTGAATGCATGTCAGCATGGCTTTTAACCCCCTTTTTTCATCCACTACAAATTCATATTCTCTTACGCAGTGACCAACTTTTGCGTGTGAATAATTTAACACTGTCCAAATATGACGCACTTGTGGCAACATCCAATGAATATTCCATCCGGGCCTCATCCATCCTCTGTATTCTGTCCATTCTCCTGCTTCTCAACTTTCAATTCAATTAAACTTTGGAGGAATGCGACGCTGAAAGACGCTTCAAGTGGTGTTTGTGTTAGTAACTGGATTAAAATTATGAATTTTAATTGCAATTTCTCATCTCTCTCTCTCTCTGTTTTTTCTCTTCCATCTTCTCGGTGTCAACATTCAGTGACATTTTTTCATCGCATTATGCAAATCTTCGACCCTCGGACAGCTTCGTTGCAGCGCCAATGGAGACAAGGAGCGACGCTCAAGGAGCTGTTGGCATCGCGCACTGGCTCAAGGAGACTCTCCAAGTGGTTGTGGTGTTGATGGTAATCGCCGTGTTCAATCGCCATCTGAATTCGCACTACTCGCCAAAGTGAGCCTTTGACTCATCATCATCTGTTATGTAAGGCATTCCAACATTTGCTAGACAAGATAAAATGCCATTGATTGGCCTCTCTATGGACACTTGTAATTTACTGCCGTTCCCAAAATACAATCCCAATCACAATGATAAGAGGACTATTGAAGCCTCTTCTCACTCCGGAGATCATTTGGCAATTTGGCGGCAACGCGAACAGTGTGTGAATTCTGTAAGATGTGGAAGTTCATTGTCATCCTATTCATCTCGGCCACCTTTTGTGCTTCCGCCGCTGTTGAGGTGCGTCGGACGTACGACAAGCAGTGGTATGAGCACGCGACTTTTTATCAGGTAAGCAATCAATCTGATGTGGTCATTGGAAGTGCTAGTGGCAGTTCAATAGTGCCCAACATGTGATTTATTCCTCCCATTGTTGCTTTCCTCTCTCTCTCTCTTCCCCAACAATTGTGCAATAACACCGCCGAGATCTTATCGAACACCTCATTTTCGTCTCAATGGAAAGAACATTATTATCAAGGGAAATATTTACTTGAGCACTCGTGCTGATCATATCGGACAGATGGACATAAAACGTCTCTGTAATATCAATATTTTTATAATTGCATCGTCTTTCTGACATAAAATTGCACTGGCTCAATCGACGACCAGGAAAGAATTATGTCAATTGCGGGGGTTTTTCAATTAATTGATTACACTTTTTACTTATAATCCATTGACCCATTTTTGGATTGGGAAGCGTCTGCAGACGGAGGGACATCAATAATGTAATGTTGCAATCGCGTGTCACTTACCTCGTGTTCGTGAATTATGAGAAAGCTTCACAAGTCGCATGCAATTAATCACCAAACAATTGTTCACAAAAGAAAAGAAGAAAAATCCCCGCCAAAGTGTCCAATTGGAAAAACTCCCCGAATGTCATTGACTCAATTCATCAGGGCGGTGATAATAGAAGTCAAATCTGTACATAATATCTCCCCTTTGGTTCAATTGCAACCCCTTCTCAGAGCCATTTGTCCCCACAGGTTTACCCCAGATCGTTCAAAGACAACAATGGCGATGGCGTGGGCGACTTGCCGGGGATTACGTCCAAATTGGAGTACCTCCAGAGCATCGGCATCAATGCCATTTGGCTGAGTCCGTGCTTCCAGTCGCCCATGGTGGACAATGGCTACGACGTGTCGGACTTTAAGGCGATCCACGATGAGTTCGGCACAATGGCTGATTACGAGCAGATGATAAGTGTGGCAAATGAGTTGGGCATCAAAATCATGCTGGACTTTGTGCCGAATCACTCGAGTGACAAGCACGAGTGGTTCGAAAGGTCAATAAGGCGAGAGGCTCCGTACACGGACTTCTACGTGTGGCACGACGGGCGGCGCGACGAGGGTGGGAATCCTGTTCCGCCCAATAATTGGGTGTCGGTGTTCGGCGGGCCGGCGTGGACGTGGGTGGCGGAGCGCGGGCAGTTCTATCTCCACCAGTTCTATCCGCAGCAGCCCGACTTGAACTACAGAAATCCGCGGGTGTTGGAGGAGATGAAGGAGGTGCTGATTTTCTGGATGGAGCGTGGAGCAGCTGGCTTTCGTCTCGATGCCATCAATCACATGTTCGAGAGTCCGGGATTCGAGGATGAACCACTGTCGGGTTGGGGAGAGCCTGGCACTTATGACTACCTTGAGCATGTTCACACCAAAGATTTGCTGGAAACTTACGATGTTGTCGAGCAGTTTAGGCAAGTTGTGGACAATTACGCTGAAGAGCATCAGACAGAGGCGAAGATCCTCATGACTGAGGCTTACGCAAACCTCACATTCACCATGATGTTCTACCAGTCAGACCAGGGCGTTCCGCGCGCTCACATGCCCTTCAACTTTGGCCTGATCAATGACGTGCATTGGGACACTTCTGTGCGGCGGATTAAGGAGAAGATCGACGAGTGGCTGGACAATATGCCGCCAGGACACACGCCGAACTGGGTGGCCGGAAGCCATGATCATTCGCGCGTCGGCAGTCGCTTGGGCGTCGAGAGAATTGGTCTCATGAACACCCTGGTCCTGACCTTGCCCGGCACCAGCATCACTTACTACGGCGAGGAGATAGGGATGCTGGACTTCCGCGATTTCGACTTCTGGGACAGCCGCGATCCAAACAGGACACCAATGCAGTGGGATGACTCGGCATTCGCGGGATTCACGAGTGGAAGCAGCACCTGGCTTCCCGTTCATCCTGGCTACGCGACGAGGAACGTGGAGCTGCAGAGCAGCCAGGAGCGCAGTCATCTTCAGCATTACAAGCAATTGACGGCATTGCGGAAGCTGGACACCTTCGCTTACGGGGATTTTCTGTTCAAACTCCTCGGCGAGAGAGTCTTTGGCTACATCAGAGTCCTGCCGAACAATCCAACGTATCTGATGGTCTTCAACTTCCACAACCAGGAGGAGCACGTTGATTTGTCTGTCTTTGCGTCCGTGTCTGACTCTCTGAGCGTCGTCAGCTGCCCTATTGAGTCCAGCTACAAGCCTGGGTAAGTTTGAATGAGCTTCAGTGCGGTGATAAGCAGTATATTTTGGAGCCTCTTCACTCTTCTCTCGCAGAGATATCGTTGGCATTGACAATCTCCAGCTGGGACCCTATGACGCACTGGTACTAAAAGCATCTGGAGGTAATCTTCTATCGCCGGCGATAAGTCTGTTCGTGCTCGTACTAGGGAAATTATTGATTTGACGATATATAGCTGTGGAGAGTGCTCGAGCACCATTGGTAATAAAATAATCAAGTTGTACTATCCAACATTTCCAGAATGAACTCTTTAATCGTCGCGCAATGCGATGACACAACACTTGAGGAACAATTGAGTGTTGGCTTTATAATCGCATTGATTGATACCCCCATGAAATAAGGTGATAAACTTGTAATGTGCAAAGGTGAGTGACTCACAGGAGTATTTTGTTTAGAAGATATTTCACAATTAGCGATTATTCAGCACACTAAACGGTCGATTTTGGGATTTCAAATGGAACTCCTCATCAATATCGAGTAATCAGGGCTTTTATTGCCAATCGAACACATACTTATGTGTCGCTAGTGATGGTCTTATCACAGCTTAGTCAGCAGGCAATTGGCAGGAGATTAGCATCGCTCTGAGCATAGGCAAAATTATAAATGGCTGCGCACCGCGTCCGCAGTTAATCAGTGGAGTGTTGGAAGTTGAGTCGAACTGTGCTTGATTCAGTAGGAATTATTATGAAACTCCTCGGATATCTGCTGGCCACGCTGGCCATCGCTCTCACGGCCGAGAGTCACTTGCTGGGCGATAAAAGAACAGTCAAAGCCGATCCGAGGCACGATCATCCGCACCTCGATTGGTGGCAATCGACAGTGCTGTACCAGATCTATCCCAGGTCCTTCATGGACAGTGATGGCGATGGAATTGGCGACTTGAATGGAATATCCTCGAGATTGGCTCACCTGCAGGAGGCTGGCGTCTTCGCCTGCTGGTTGAGTCCAATCTTCAGCTCTCCGATGAAGGATTTCGGCTATGATATCTCAGATTTCAAGAGCATCAATCCCGAGTATGGAACCATGGAAGACTTCCTGCAACTCCTGCACGAAGCTCGTCGCTTAAACATCCGCCTAATTCTGGACTTTGTGCCCAATCACACGAGTGATCTGCACGAGTGGTTCGTCAAGTCTGAGGACAATGATCCTGAATACAGGGATTACTACGTCTGGCGTGACGCTAAGATTGTCGATGGCAACAGAGAACCGCCCAACAATTGGCTCTCGGTCTTTCACGGGCCCGCGTGGACTTGGAGTGAGAAGCGACAGCAGTATTACCTGCACCAGTTCGCGAAGGAGCAGCCAGATCTGAACTTCGAGAACCCAAGAGTGGTGGAAGAGATGACTGACGTCCTCAAATTCTGGCTGGATATCGGTGTGGATGGATTCCGTGTGGATGCAATCAATCATTTGTTCGAGGACCCAAGTTTTGCCGATAATCCACCCAATCGCGACGTTTACGACCCGATGGACTACAATCACTTCGACACAATTTACAGCAAAGATCTGCCCAAGTCGTATCAGCAAGTGTATGACTGGCGCAGATATATGGACGAGTATGCTGAGGAGCAGGGCAGTGATACCAAGTGAGTGACGCCCAATCTCAAAGGTGATCTGTCGATAATTGAATTCCTCTTTTTCCGCAGGATCTTGCTGACTGAAGCCTACACGGATCTCACCAACACCATGAAGTGGTACATCTCAGAGGATGGCACGCAGAAGGGCGCCCACTTCTCCTTCAACTTCCAACTCATCATGGGCCTCAAAGCGCTGCCAGAACAACTCACAGCAGCGGACGTTAAGGCGACAATTGACGAGTGGTTTGATCACTTGCCTGAGGGATTGACGCCCAATTGGGTGGTAAGATTACCAGCAAAAAGCACACAAACTAATTGAATTTATCACTTGATTATGTCCGTCTTTCCAGCTAGGAAACCACGATCGGCCGCGAGTCGCTTCACGCTTTGGCGTGGATTTGGTGGACAACATGAACATTCTGGTGCAGACTCTGCCCGGCGTCGCTGTGACGTACTACGGCGAGGAGATCGGAATGGAGGACTTCAGGGGCATTTCGTGGGAGGACACAAAGGATCCTCAAGCTTGTGGCTCCAACGAGACAGTCTATCAGCAGTACACGCGAGATCCAGTGCGAACGCCAATGCAGTGGGACGATTCAGAAAACGCTGGCTTCTCCACATCCGCCAATCCTTGGCTGCCTCTTCATCCCAACTATCCGCAGAACAATCTGGCACAGCAGAAGGAGCAGGAGCGCAGCACCTTCAAGCTGTATCAGGAACTGGTGAGACTGAGAGTGGATCACGCTCTCGAGTACGGTGACTTTGAATCTGTTGCGCTGGGCAATGTCTTCGCCTACAGAAGACATGTGGAAGACCATGAGAGTCTTGTGATTGCTCTGAATCTGGGCAGCACAGATGCAACAGTTGACTTGTCACCCATTCTATTAGAATCATCTTACGCCGAAGGAACTGTTGATGTTTCCGTCACCAAATCAATTTACAAACGAGAGTGAGTATCTTATTATATCCACCCTTGAATTTCACATTAACATTGCTTTTTCCCCTTCATTGCAGTGATGTTGTTCCACTGGACAGCTTTCCTTTGCCAGCTTACGATGGAATTATCTTGAGAGTTCCCTCATCGGCGACGAAAATCGTCATTTCTGCCCTTTCCCTGTTAGTTTCGTTCTTAGTTTTGTTTTAATTAAAGAGAATGCGCAAAGGTGTAATCTAGAAAATAAAAGTAACTCATCGAGTGACAAATATATGATTCTCAATCTGGAGGCCATCGAGTTTTTACAACATCACGTGCGTCTCTCAAGTTCCTCTCATTCAATTTGGCTGTACAGATAATTGTACTATCAATTTTTTGGAAAGTTTCCAGGAATTGCGACGACCGCAGCTGAGATTAGACGCGGTGTAGAGGAAATAATACACAATTGCCGAGATATGGATTGAGTTGGCGAGAGTGGAGGACTAGTTCGCGTCAGCTGAAGAGATCACCGATTGATCATGTACGCGAGACGTGGATTCGCGCCTCGAGCACTCATCGAGAATTATCTGTGGCGATTAAATTAGATACGATATAACTCTGTGCGATCTATATAAAGACGCATCGCAGCGGGGAATCTTCAGTGTGTGAACATCAATGGGTGGATTAATTCAATTAGTGGGCATTCTGTGCCTGGCGTTGACTTTGTCGTCTGCCAGAGAGGTGAAATCGGCCAATAAACAGACGGAAGACACTCAGGATTGGTACGAGCATGCGGTCTTCTATCAAATCTATCCGCGCTCCTTCATGGACAGCGACGGCAATGGTGTTGGCGACATCAAAGGCATCACGAGCAAATTAGGGCATTTGAAGGATTTGGGAGTGACTGGAACTTGGCTGAGTCCAATCTTCACGTCTCCCATGAAGGACTTTGGCTACGATATTGCGAACTTCACCGAAGTTGACGAGATTTTCGGAACGCTGGACGATCTCAAGGAGCTCTTTGCCACAGCCAAATCCATGGGCATTAAGATCATCTTGGACTTTGTGCCAAACCACAGCAGCAATCTGTGCAAGTGGTTCGAGTGGTCGGAGAACAGAGAGAATGGCTACGATGATTGGTACGTTTGGGTGGACGCTAAAGAGATCGTCGATGGAGTTCCTGTTCCTCCGACTAATTGGGTGAGTTTGGCGATTACTTGAGCTTATGAACTTGCGCTTAACTCTGTGATTTGCACAGGTGAGTGTCTTCTATGGGCCTGCGTGGACTTGGAGTGAGAAGAGACAGCAATTCTACCTCCATCAGTTCGACTATCAGCAACCCGATCTCAACTTCCGCAATCCAGTCGTTGTGGAGGCCATGAAGGACGTGATGCGATATTGGCTGGAAATGGGCGCCGATGGATTCCGCGTGGATGCCATCAATCACTTGTTTGAGAAGGAGCCTCTCCAGGATGAACCCGAGAATTGGTGGGGCGTCACGGATCCCAATGATTATGGCTTCCTGGATCACATTTACACCAAGGATCTCGACGAAACCTACGACATGATCTACCAATGGCGCGAATTGCTGGACGATTGGCAAAAGCAGCACGGCGGCGACACGAGGATCATGATGACAGAAGCCTGGGTGGATGATGAACTCTTCACGCGATACTACGGCGCGTCAGGACGCGAAGGATCGCACATGCCGTTCAACTTTGTGCTCATCACGCAACTCAATGAGCACTCCAAACCGTCGGACTTCAAGAGAGTCATCGACGAGAGACTCCGCATTATTCCCGATGGCAAGTTTGCTAATTGGGTCCTGGGGAATCACGACAAGAATCGCGTGGGCACGCGATATGGTGCGCAAATGGTCGAAGGCATGCTGGCTCTGGAAATGGGTTTGCCTGGAGTTGCCGTGACGTATTATGGTGAGGAGATTGGAATGCTGGACAACAAGGCAATCACGTGGGAAGAGACGCAGGATCCGCAAGCGTGCAATCCTCAGGATCCCAGTCGGTATCAGGAATTGTCGCGTGATCCCGCGAGAACACCAATGCAGTGGGACAATTCTGCATATGCGGGATTCTCAAGTGTCACGCCTTGGCTGCCAGTCAACTCCAACTACGGGACGCTCAATTTGGCGAGACAATCGGGGCAAGATCGCAGCGTCTACCACTTCTACAAGGATTTAGTTGCATTCCGGCAAGTGTATGACATAATCTACGGCGATTACGAGTCGAAAGTCTTGGCGGATGACAGCATTTTTGCGTATCGTCGAACAAGTGAATTCAACGGTGAGACATCTGGCTATGTCTTCGTCATTAACTTCTCGGGCAGCGAACACACGCTGGACATGACTCAGAGCTTCGACTTCTTAGCTCAACACAACATCTATGTTGATTACGCGTCTTCGGGTTCGTCGTACGAACAAGGAACCAAAATAGATCCTGCAGCTCTCGTCGTTGGACCTTACGATGCACTCGTTCTCGGTTCAAGCGGCGCAAAGTTGATTATGTCTCTCACTTTAATCTTCGCTGTCGTCGCAAGATTTCTATTTCTTCAATAAATAGCCCAGTTGATTTATGAAGTATACATGTCTAATTTATAGACCCCGCAGAGTGTGTGGCGTATAAATAATTGAATGGGCATTTTCGAAGGCGATAAGAGAGTGAATTGTATTTGTATGTCTTCATTGATGTTTGCTCGATGGGATGAAAGTGCCAGATGAATTTCCCCCTGTTTCAACTGTGTGATTATTCCTTCCAACTCAATTAAGCTTATCGCGTCACCCAAAAGATTCTTACGCCAAGGATATATCGAATCCCCTCATGATTGTGTATCGATTCCTCCACACTTGGCTGAATTTCCTGCTATATGTATTTTTGGTGTGCTTATCAAACTGTGTGAGATGTATAATTTCATATTGACTCTTCGCTGAGCTTCTGGAATATTTGCTCAATCTCTTGACAATTGATATTTTCCTCATTCTCGCGAGCAAACAGCCAGTAACTATACATCAAGTGTTTGTGTGTGATGTTTGGATTAAGTAAAAAGTAATTAATCACTTTTCATTTCCCTATTACATTTTTGATGAGCCACAATTTCACATTACTGCCTTCATCCATCACTGTTGTAGCATAATTTCACCTCTGAATTCATTATGTTTCGCCCACGATTGCTGCAGTAGATCAGCAATTGTGGCCCGAGGATTAAATACTTAATTAAATTGTGGAGATAATTTCGTGCGAGACGCGCATACCAATTAAATTTTCGACAATCGAAATCACGTGCAAGAAGTGCGAATGGTGGAAAATTTTAATGATTAAATTTATGTCAAGTGCTTTTCCATCCCATTCTTGGTGTTGTTCAGGAAGTGAATTTTCCCTCCCATCGCGCGAGTATCATTTTCAATGTCGGCAGACTTTTTTCCACACAAGTAATACATTTGGAGAGGAAAAAATCACATTTCGTACATGACATACATTTATAGACTTCTCTTCTCTTCGATATCGAGCGCACACGAGGTTTCATTTTGACGAAGATTTTTTTATGACAATACCGTCTTCGTCAGATCTCTTGCTGGAAATCTCGTCTTGGGGTAATTTTATTGGGGTGGCGTTCGCCTTTGCGTCTTCCTATTGCAAATACACTCTCTGTCTGCCAACGGAATAATATACCTCACAGGAACTCGCAGGAAGGAAAAGGAAGGAGGAAAGGACAAAAAAGCACCCTCCGGTTCAGTGATATTTGCAGAGAAACATGCTTATTATGTAAATTGAGAGTGATGAGTTTAGTAATGAATTTGAAAAAGAGTTTACAACGCACTCGAATGGAGAGAAGAACAAGACAATAACATTCTTTTTTCTTCTTCTCTTCTCTTCCAGCAAGGAAAATTCCACGTGATGCTTAATCTCTAGTCCCGGGAGTATTTTCAACGAGACTAAAATTAAAAATAAAATTCTCCCCTAAAGATTTGCTGTTCGGTTTAATAAAACAAAATGATATTGTAGAGAGAGAGAGAGAGTCTGATTAAATTTGAACAAAGAGTAATTGGAAATCCCCAAGCATGGAATTCACAAAGGGAAATTGAGCCCACAAAGATGTGCCTTTGAATTTCAACACCCCCATATATATGTTCACAATGGAAGAAGGAGAGAGAATTGATCCTCATTCCATTCTGGGAAAACGATGGGGATTTATTGAAATAGTTCGCGAATATGGGACTAATTAATTCGCTGGCAAATTGAATTGTACAACTTCTGAATTTCTCAATTAGCATCAAATAACACTCAACTATCACCACGTGATTCTGCAGAAAATTACCATAGCATTAGCATTTTATTGCCAACTATTTCTCGCCCCACTCGTTCGCCGTCTGTCTTATTTTCATAAATATTATTATTTCATCACGACGGGCGCTGTTTAAAAGGCTCTTTTTTTCGCAACATTTAATTGACGTATTTCAGTTGACTTGGCTCACTTCTATATATTGAAAGTTTTCCAGTTCATTGACTCACCATCCAATGTCTATAGAGCCATTTGAGATAAGATAGAGAGACTTATGGACACAGGCGTGCGGATGGTGGAAAACTGCTAAGAGTACAAATTCTGCAGATTTTCTGGGATTTCCCGAATCAGTGGGTGGGCTCATGAGGGATCTATTCTCGGTAAATAAGTGATTTTTCCTTGTCGAGCCCAGAGAGAGTATACACAATTTAATTGCTTTGACCTTTTGATTGCCGTGGGTGAATAACAAAGGAATTAAGATTGTATCAGAAAACAGGGATTATATACAATTGAAATTAATTGATTCGCAGGAGCTATGCTGGAAAATATCTCACAGGACTCTTGGCCACTGAGCGCCGCAATATCTGTTGCGGATGATTTGCTCTGTAAACACACGTAATTGCAACTTTTCCATTCCAAAAACCCCGATTTTTTTCCTCCCCACCCAAACCGATGCTTGAAAAGGAATATTTTGTTTACCAACTAAAAGCATTGAGGATTTCGGTGAAAAAGCTCCGGCTATTTATAGTGGCTTTCATACATCACCCTCAAATTATTAAGCTCCAATGGAAATTGAGAGCGCAGATTTTCTAGGAAGCTCTTTCATTTGTTTTTCAGAGGTAAAATCTCTCATTGTAATTATATTTTCCACGTATTTTATTTTTTATCATTTGTTTATTTGTTTTTATGCAAAAAGGCGTGAATTTTACTGCGAAATTCCAAATGTGCCGAACTTTTCCATTACATTTAATCCCACATGTTGCAGCTTTTGCAGTAACATATAAGCCATCAGCTCGGCTTTCAGTTCCTGCGGAAGTACACTAATTGCTAAACTTTAATAATTGCACACAATTTCTCAGTGAGGTTTCTGCAAAGCTATGATAGTTGCGTATTTCGGGAAATTCATTACACGCTGAACAAATGACTCAATTTCCGCACATGAAATTCATATACAAAATACGTGAATCCATAAAAATTTTGATGGAAGTTTGATACAATTTAATTGAAAGCTCATGAAATTGCATTTGAAGCTTTCCATGCGAGTATATTAAATAGTCCTAAAATTGATCCTGACTTTTATGGGCGAAAATAAAATTCCAGAATATTGAGCGCATTTTTTCTCTAGTCATAAATCCCAAAAATATCACGAGTCGCGTGTCAATTTATTGACAAAAAAAAATATATGAAAGAACTTTAATATTTAATTTAATTGTGCCAAAAGTCACGCGCCAAACAAATTTGTGTCTAATTTTGACGAGGAAATGAGAGACATGGTGTGAAAATTGAATCATTTTTTAGTAAACTGTGTTAGAAAATGTATTTTTAGCGCCGGGAAAATTCATAATTTGGTGCCATTGAAATATTCACGAGTCGCCCAAAGTGGAAATTGAATGTTTGCGGAGTGAATTCAGCCCAAATATCGCATTTTTTCGCAATTCCCCTCTCAAAGGCAATAAAATCGCGCGTGGATACCCGATGGTGTGAAGAATCCTGAGCAATGTGGAGTATTGAAAGGATTCTCCATGTGACATCACTCACGTGTCACTGGGAAAAAGGGCGTGAGAGGATTTGCAGAGGCGCAAATAGAATTTCTACCAACCTCTTGACATTCATTTCAAGTTCGACTTGGAGTGTTTGTGAAAATATTTCAAAGATATATATTTTTTAATTCACTCTATAATATATTCCTCTTGGATAATTTGTTTGTTGAGCTCTTTCTCGAGCTCTTTTCTGTCCATAAATTCAATTTGCTTTGGAGAAGCAACAGGCTAATCCATTAATCATCCCAAATTTCACCCTCGCTTATGAATATTCATCATTCGCCAATGCACAAGTTTCGCTCTGCCAAGCGTCTGGCAATTGGGGGGAAAGTGGGGGTGGGAAAAGTCGCCTCACCTATCACATATGAGTAACCGTCCAACGTGAGGACGCACTTTCTCGTCACGCCGCCCGTGTGATGTCTCAAGGAGCGACTCAGGGCGCTGCCGATTAGCGGCATGCTCGAGCCGTGGCGCTCGCCGGGATCGGAGTTGCACTTGTGCACGAGATCCTTGCTCGTGCGCGCCTGCTGATCGTCCTCACCGGCCGCACTTTCCTCCACACTGTCATTGGCACTCTCGGGATCGCACATTTCGGATCCGCCCACGAGTTACGGAGCAGCGCGGGAAAATCCACTGATATGCACAGTCACGGGCTTTCCCGTCCAATTACGCGTGTCACTCGGGATTTGGCGCATTTTCCCATGTGCCCAAATCACTTCTCCGATTGATATTGCAGAAGTCTAATCCGCGCTAATGTTTCCACATGAAAGTCTTCATGCACGTGTAATCCACAGCGCCATGGCGACCGCTGTGATTTTCCCCCTTTGATCAGCGAATTCTGCCCGTCCGCGAGACGGTATCTGACATCGCCGGTGGCTGAGTGTGATCTATGTTATGTCACAGACATCTCATTTCATGACTCGAATATGTGTCAGCTTTTGGAGTGATTTCAAAAGTCTCTCTCTCACGCGCGCGCGTCACTCCATAAGGACTATTGTCTCTCTGTGTGGTCCAATTGCGGAGAAATCACGTGTGATTGACACACAATGGGGTCTCATTTGATTCAATTAATTACATGCGAGATGCGGAGACTTCGCGAATCGATACAGCGCGAAAGCATTTTGCGATTGGTTTCCCCGCACACACTCGAGAAAGTCAAATCAATTCACTCAATTTCGTCCAGATGGACCGATTCTCACATCATTTACCATCAATTCCACCTTATCGCATAAGGATGGCCGACAGGGGCGGCTCCTGATAAGGGTGCGCAACTGATAGGCCTTATCGCGAGACACATTCTTTGCCCACTTTAGCCTTCGCACGCGAGGAGAGTGACAGAACGCGGTGGGTTTATTTGAATTGCAAATCACGCCGTCAGTTCTATATGTCCCAAACACTGGACAAACTTCCGTTCGCCATTTCCGTGAGAATGCTATTTGCGTCGCGTTGACATGCCTGGCCACTCTATCACGCCGTCGAAACTCCACACTTCACCATATGTTCGGCACAATGTTGCATTTATTCAACTGCATGAAACACACTTTGATACTGGACACATCAACTCGTGTCAGGGGAGCAAAGTAGGGATAATATGCACTACATAAACTGAAGAGGATGAGATTATGTTTAGAATGACCGTCATGCTGACCGGTGAGATTCAAGCATCCACTCAATTCACCTTCACACCATTCATTTTGGATTAAACGCACATTTTATCAATTCGCTCTCGCGCTTTTTTTTGCCAAATAGTCATTCAAAGGACTTCACTGGGAGGATATTTCTGTGATTGCAAAAACTCACAGAGACTCACTAAAGCCCCTCAGAGATTGAAACACATCCACAAGACAATGCAGAAAAGCACAGCTCGAAAGCTCCCATATTTTCCATTAAAATGAAAATGAACGACATTGTGCATAAATGCTTGAAATATGCAAAAGAGCGATAAGTTTTATAACTCCACACTTTGTGTGGAAAAATCCCAAATAAATTATACGCTGAGCAGAATTGAAAAATTAGAATTGCGCCACACAGATGACCATTAAGTCCAATGTGGGTGCACAGAAAGCCATCCAGAGTGGCTTTTTGGTCGCTCTGACGATTTATGAATTCTTTAGTACGCTTTAAAGCTGGGCGTACATTAAAAAAAAAAGCTCCAGGATTTGCGACGGTGGATGAATTTGAATATGCTGATAACACGGAGAGCTTCAACCGCACTCTTAATCACATTGACTTGCAGGTTTTTCGACAAATTGCCATTGCGTAGAAATATGCAGATTACAGAGTGTTTTAATAATGATAAATCTTGATCAACTTGTGCCACTTGAAGAGGATGCCTAATTGAAAAGTGTGCGCCAGACTTGCTCGTGAATTTCTTGCATGATTAATCATGATGGAATATTTAAGCGACGAATGCATCACAGTTCGACATGTTGAGTGCTGGAAAAAGCTCTCTCACTTCTGCGCGACTGGCGAAAGTTTTGTGCACAGAAACAATTATTCTCATCTGCGTCACAAATTACAATGGAGCACAAGAATGGAAACTACAGTTCCACTTCATTATAAAATCATTTATCTGGCAGTATTTCGCTGTCGCGTGAAAAGGTCACCCAAGAAGTAAACTGGAAAAGTTTCTCAATTCAGAGACACACTTAATTGTGACAAAGCGTGAAAGTAATTCTTGCGAAAAACCACGTGAAATACTTAGAGAGTTTCCTCAAGAGTGACTCAAGCAGCTGAGCCTCACTTCAGGAGGTCTTATGAAGTCAGATGCACTGCGATTTTGTCACTGAGTCTTGACACTATCAAGTGCTTCTCTTGTGTTCATGAAAATTCCGTTTTTTCCCCGAACTTCACACAGGTCAAACTTTTCCCCGAGCCTGTGCATACATTTTGCCCCCATATATATTTATTTAGGTCAGCAAGTTTGACATGCTAAGGGCCGCCCGAAATTTCCTCCCTCGGTCAAGATTGACTTTGGTGAAATAACAAATATGCGAGAGTTGGAATAAATTAATTTGTGGGATCTGCGCTGTCGATTGTCCCAAAGTCCAGGCATAAATTCAATATGCGCTCAGCCTCCATCCTTGAACTTCAGCCCGAGAGCAAAAACAGAAGTTAATACAACACCCTCGAAAGGAGATCAATACATATTCTTGCCAAAAACTCTTCCTTCGCGCGCGCGGAAGGAGGTTCAGTGGAGGCGCCTGGTACACCAATCAATCTCAATCATAAACTGTAATTGTCGTACAATAAAAATTTTACGCGAGTTTACTGGATGCTTTAGCGGCGGGATGTGACGTAATGCGACCCGGCAGTCATTAATCATGGGAATATCATAAAATATCTCCCGCGGTTCAGCTGCATTTTTCACACACACAAATGCGCGGTTTTGCTGCATTTTGCGGTGCGGGAATTTCAGCAATTTCACCACGCTTTCAGGCAAATTCTTAAGCACTTTTAAAGCAGAAACATGTAAAAATCCATTCTAAGTTCTCACCAAGGGGGAGATAATAAGCCTTAACGCTTCTAAATTTGCCTGACACTTGAAGAATTCATATGAAAACGTTTCTTTTTGAACATCTTTTCTGACCATAACCTAAAAATATAACTAAAAGATCTTCAAACACTTGGTTTAGAAGCTTTCTAGGTCACAAAATCATCTGGTTATGTCAAAATTGTCCAGAAAGTTTATTAAATAAACATTCTTTTTGAGGTTATATTCGATCTTAGCACAATTTGCAGGGTTTCTTAGCATTGAAGGTTTAGAATATCAAGGTTTATCGCAAGCTAACGCCAAATTTTGTCAATAACTAGCGATCTTTCGGACTTCAAAATGAAAATTGATGCACTAAAATGCAAACAATTTCATTACATAACCTAGAAAAGCATTTTTACGATTGTTTCTACGTAAAAATCAAAAGAAAGCCGAAGAATTGTGATAATTTTGTCAGGTAAAGAAGCACTTAGGAAAGGTATATTGTAAGCTTCAGAATACTTCCACTTCTTAAGTACTTCTGCTGAACTGCACAGCACTTCTGACTGTATTATCTCCCCCTTGATTCTCATGACAGTCTAATTTTCTGTTTCGCGACTTTGCCTCGCGACTTTGCCTCGCGATTTGCTCTACGCAACGCGATAAGCGTTCTTCCAAGTTTGACTCATTGGCAAGAAGTTCGTTAGCAATTTAATTGCTCTAAGGAGGTCTCGGTGTCTCGCAAGCGGAGTGATTAGTGAGCCTCGGGGGAAATGTGACGTGAGAGATGAGGCTCGGCACCGCGAAATGTGGTTTGACCCACATGGAAAAGTCAAATTGCGGCTTTCGTGTATAAGTCAAATAAACTATCCGCATTTTCGCATTACTGAAAGCCACCACCTGGCCGAAGGAGGGTGCAAAAAGCTCTCTCTCTCTCTGTCTGGAAGAAGGAGAAAAAAGCCCGCTCGTGTAACTTCCCTATTATACATTCTAATGAACAGTTCACAGTTTTCATCGCGCACCGGAAAATTGCCCGCGGAAACTTTCATCACGTGCATCCAATCCATTGACCCCAACACGGCCAAGAAAATTGTCTGCGATTTTGACTCGCAACATGTCATATTTCTCTGGAGCGCGGAATGTGCTGAGGCGGGAAGTGTTATTAATTGCAATAATTCCGTGTCGCATTCAAAACAGTTGAGGGATTAGCGCGCGAAGACAGTGAGAAATACTCTTGCCCAATCTCTGTGGCAATTTAGTGCAATTTTTGCCAATTACAAACTGTGCCTAATGAAGTTTCTGGTTTTATTATCGCCGGCATAAAGGCCGCTACTTTATCGCCTTCACCTCCTCGTTGATCTGCACAAGACAGAAAATTTATGGTCAATTTAATGAATACCTCCGTGGCGAACACACACGAAATAATGCTAATCCCGCGTTCGCACACACAATTGAGACCCGACTTTTTGATATGTGGAGGAGAGAGAACAAGTAGCAACGCAAGTCTGTCTTTGACAAGTCGCAATCCAACTCAAAAGTGGCTCGGAATTGAGATAGAAATCGCGATTAATTCATATTCGCAGATTAGAGCGAAATGAGCTGAGGTGGGAATTGGTAAAATTGACAGTGACACATTTTTTCCCTGTTTGATGGTGAAAAAAGCACACAACAAGTGTTCAATGTTCATTGGACGTTTAATTAAAAATATATATATTTTATTGCAAAATGTCGCAATAAAATGCAAAATAAATAAATAAAAATTCTCGGCTTTTCAACAATTTCTGCAAATCAATTTTCTCTCTGATTTCAACTATTTGCCCAAAAGCTCCAGAGAAAATGCATCTGAAATTGTGTTTGCAATTTAATTTGTCGGCTTTTTTTTCCTCCTCTTTGTGCCTGCATCAGCGCAATTGAAGTGCAGCCACAGAATAATTCAGTGTATTGAATTTCTGCTATATTATCAGTTCTATATCATTCCCAGCATGTTCTTATGTACTGGGCAAACATGTAATGGGACTGCAGCATGAAAATAATGTTGTACAACTGCAATGCGCTCACATTGTCCAAACACAACGCGAGACTTTTTCCTCCCTTCCTTCAT